TGTGGCAATCATGAAGGTAAATTCAAATCTATTAATAATATTGAATCATGATTATATAAGAGTTTATATGGTGAAGCACCAATAGAATTTTATACCCTCATAATATATGCATACTAAAAAATGGCAAATAATCATCCCAATCTAGGTCATATACTTTATGATCATCCCTTTGAATGTTCAAATGAGCCATTCCACCAAACCATTTGTTTGTTAATGATAATCATTTATGAAAGTGTGGTATATCCCCAATTAAAAATATCAAGATGTGAAATGCCTCGACTATAAACACAAGATCATTATCTAAGAAAATTTGTTTTGAACAAGAATGTTAAAACACCATAATAAATTCTTGAATTTGAATTTCTTAGGAGGCCATTTAGCCCATATATTTAACCCTAAGTATCTTAAGATTTTTAACCAATTCTAAAAGGTATAAGCCCTTTCTCTTTATATTTGAACCATTATAAATTGTTTCTTGAGTGATTCTCTTTGATTATTTACAACCATTTAATTGAAGAGTAAGTATCTAACAATAGTTGAAGATGCACTAGCAAGAATACTAACTTCCACCTAACGAGTCAAATAGTTAAAAGTAATAATGATGTAATCCTTGCCAATAATCAATTGTGGAAAAAGCTTTATAAGATAAAATGCTACCATCTTAAATAGATGAAAAATTGCAATTGACTCCAACTATTCTTTTGCAAGATGAAGGAAAATATTACAAGCTTGGCACCAAATGCAATTATGCATATACAAATTACATCATTTTGTATCTTCAATTAATAAAAAAACCTATACAACTTCTCAATCATATAACAATATTTCTGTAAGTAACCAAAAAAATGATCTAAAAGATTATCCATGGGGTTTAATTATTAAAGAAAAAGGCCCATGAATAAGAGTGTGCTCTCATTTAATCTGGAAAGGGTCTTGGGATACTTAGGGTTAAGCATTATTGAGTTTGAGTAGTATTAAGTTGAATAACTTCCTAAAAAGTCCAAATTCCATTTGATATCAGAAGGGTTTCAGATCCAACTCTATAAATTGACTAAGGGAATCACACTATATGAGATTAATATCTAATAGGTCCAATTTGCCTCTAGTTAGACTCAATTTGAGGGGTAGAGTGTCAAGAAAGTAAGGCTCGAGAGAGAGCTATGCCTCTTAACTTTTATCTTCTATAACTCAATCTATTACCACATGTTGCCATTTATCGTCATGTAGTAGAATTAATTTTCATTCTCTATAGTAATGGTTATACATATGCATATATATGGAATAAGGTGAACTTAATTGTATATATAGGTGATCTTGAGCTTGAGCTTGAGCTCTAATAATTATAGATAGTGTTGAGTCAAACTTTCAACCTCATATTTAGTATAAATTAATTGCATTGCAATCATATCAAATATGACTTTAAGGCTTTTCCCTCTTGTTTCATACTCAATTTTGTTCCACTTCATCCCTTTGTTTCTACTTTTGCTTTTATTAAGATTGGTGGGCCAATGCTTTGGGTGAGTTTGATTATAAAATATTATATAAGTAGTGTTGTGGTAGATGCTCTAAGTCAATAAGTGAGTTTAAAGTTGGTGGAAAAGCAATGTCGTGGTAGATGCTCTAAGTCAGAAAGTGAGTTTAAAGTTGGTGGTATCTAGTGCAATAACAACCTTCTAGGATGATGTATGAATAATATATGAAAACGATGATCTATAGTGTTTCCTTCTTTTTCTTCTATTCCTTTTCCAAATGTCTCAGACAATCTTTGTGTTGCAGTAATTGATTAGTATAAGAAGAATTATTTGATCTCTTTGACTTTGAAAGGCTAAGTTTGTAATGTGTCATCCTATTCTAATTGAAGATGCTCGTCCAAGCAAAGTTTATATTTGGCATCAGTCATCAAAGAGGATCAAGATCTTATAAGAAAATATCTAAAAGATGTTGGAAAAAGATGTTATCTAAAAGTGTTAGAGTCTCTAGGCATTTGAACTTCATCTATCAACTATCATTAATAAAATAATATAACTATCTTAAATGTGTACCCCATTCCTCACACTATTAATCTTCTAAAGTATTAAGGGAGAAATCATTAATTCACCAAGTTGGATCTTGCTTTTAAGTATTAGTAAGTGCTAATAGTTGAGAATCCTTATAATCCACCATGCTTCCCTATAAGTTCACAGTTAATAAGTTGAGTAATAAAATATAAACTTAAACCTATATCAACCAATCTAAAGAGGATAGCAAAGGACTTCTTATTATAAAACCAAGATTGAAAAGTGTACACTACATAAACTAGAGTTGAATGATCCCCTTGATGGTATTTTTGAAAGATCCCTCAAAAAAAGGTTATTGACTTATTCATGTAAGATTCCTTCACTACTTTAAAATCCCTCTACTACTTATGTGACTCTTTGTTCCTTAAAATAATTTTAGTGTCAAGACCTTCCATTGTAATAGCATTAATAGAATGTTAAAACCCAAAGGCCTCCATCTAGGAAATGGAAAATGCCAATCCGGGAAATGCTAATAATGTCAATATGTATAGATAAGCTTATCATACACTCAATAGCAAATATCACACTTATGACCATATCCTCATCTTTGTCTTTGAACATAGGCAATAGTATCATTCACCTTCATTAGATTAAGATCATCTCTCATAAGAAGTGGTGTTGAAACACACGTAGTTACAAGTGAGAGACATAATGTATTATAGTATTGTACTAGTTTAGCATAGTCAAGGGTGGATGGGTAAGTATATATATATAAGTCCCACAAGATCTTGACAAAATGTTAGTTACAAATATCCAGCTTAATCTATTTTGATATATTTGGCTTCGCATGAAGAAAAAAATTTCGGAAGCAAACATTAAATTCCATAACTAACTTAGATGGCAAAGACAATTATTAGAAAGCATCATCACAATTATCAACATCTCCAAATGCACATTTGAAAACATATAGGAGAAAATTTCAATATGCACAAGTGAAATCATTATACCACTATAATGCTATCCTTTGAGACATGTAAGAAACTTACACATATACTAAGCATCATCCCAAAAATGATAAATGTCAATCACTGTAAAATGATGAATCAATAGTACTTATCATCCTCAAGATTCCCATGCAATAAATTCGGCTGGACACAAGGATTGGTAGCAAGAGTAGGAAAAGCTACATTATGTGCCATAAATGCCACCATCAACTATAACTACAACCATATAATATTGAACAACTACATTAATTTCTACTCCTGAGTCAAAAAAGGACAAAAAAGCTACTACAATAATGGTATGACATAAAGATAAATGAAAAGAAAAAAAAAAAAAAAAGAAATGAAAAAGGTATAAGAACAAAAGAAGTCTAAACAATATAAAAGCCAGATCTAAACAAAAAGATTATATATTATATTACATTTGGATTTGAAATTATTAATGGTTATACCAAGTATTTAATTAACTTCAATACTCAGATGAAACAAAGTGAAAGAGGGGAACACAACAAGATAAAAAGGACAGCCAAATTGTCAGCCATAAAGGGGGTCAGCAATGCCTTGAAACTGATGTTGAATTAAAGACATTGTCAAAATGAAGACTTCTAGGAAAAAAGAGGTAACTCACTAGCTGCAATCCTCAAACAACTGTTTGTTTGCAGATGCTAACGCAAGCCAGACGTGGATTCATCGTCATGGCAAATTTTAGCATCACTCGTCAGAAGTGTTTGAGGGCTCTCTCTCTCTCTCTCTCTCTCTCTCTCTCTCTCTCTCTCTCTCTCTCTCTCATGCTAAGCTCCTCTCTCCACAAGTTTGGTGCTCTATCTATCCCAACCAAGTGGGGAGTTAATGGTCGAGGACAACACTCCAACTCTTTCATCTTTGCGCCTAGCGCTTTGCAATGGCCCAGCAACAGGCTCTTGCGCATTAAGTCGGCCACCTTTTGCTATGGATTTGGACTTATAAACGTCTATCGGCGACGACAAGATGGAATTCTCTCGTGAACCTGTGGTGACGTGAAAATCCCCTTGCTGGAGAGGCTCCAAGCTTTCCTCTTCCTTTTGGGGTCCTCCAAGCGGTCGCATGAGGACGACCCATGAACTCTTTCGCAAGTTAATACACGATCGGTGGGACTTTGTTCTCGACGAATTTCTCTTTCTCAACCACGAAACGAAAAGGAGAGAAAGAGCTATCCTCGTGATAAAAACAGCCTCGAAGCCTCGATGTTTCTTCCTTAGCGGCATATGCGCAGCTAAATACTCTTTGTAACGTAGCGTTGCTCGCGCCAAGAAAAAAAGAGTTTGGATCCTCTTTGAATTGTAGAGCAAGCGCCCAAGCTCTCAAGAAAGGTTTTTCGAGCTCCAGATCTGGCAATGACGATGACGATCCACCACTCTCAAATCCAAGGCTGCAATTCCGCTGGAATCGCCCGCATTTACTTGCTGTTCTCCACATCAATCGTCTTGCTCGCTGCCACTGCTGCTGCTGCTGCCGATCCAAACAACACTTACTGGAGCTCACATCAGCCTCCTCCTCCTCCTCCTTCTCCTCCTCCTCCTTCCATACCACCTATACCTCTTCCAACGCCGCCACCACCGTCACCACCGCGAGAATCCACGAGCTTGAATTCTTCATCCCCCAGTCCTCCATCCAGGACTTCTTCGTCGAGTTCTTCTTCGAGTACTCGAAGCAGCTCCTATCCCCCGAGAAGTCCCAGCTACATGGAAGCCATCGCTGCGAAGCGGCATGGCGGAGGAAGGAAAGAGGGCATCATCGCGGGAGTGGTCTTCTCCTGCATCTTCGCCTTCCTCTTCTTCATCGGCAGCGCCTATATCTACACCAGCCGGAAGTACAACTTCGAGAGGGCCAACTCCATCCGCAGCCAGATCGATGGACACATCCCTGGCGCCTGAATGAATCCAGCCATCTTCACATTCTTACTGCAGCAGAGTTTTCGGCGCACTCGTAAGAACTTTAAAAGCGCCGATCGTCGAGAAATGTATCTATAAAGACAGGCTGCTTCGATTTTCGTCTTCTTCCTTCGAACAATTTAACTCTCTTTTCGAGCTGCGGATGACTCGTTCTTTTCTTTTCTTTTCCTTTGCTCAGCTTTGCTTTGATGATGTCCAGTTGTAAAGCTCGTCCCAGACTGCCAGCAAAAGTCTTCCAGCAGGACTGTTCAAAGCGGGAATCAGCGGCGCCAGCTTCCGAGTGGAATCACCACTGATTTGGGAAAGACTCCCTGTACTTGGCATCCTCGTCTCGAGCTATGTTGGCGACCATAGCGTCCACTGCCCGGCCGCGCAGTAGTCTCCTGGCAATTCTGTCTTTTGGAGTCTCCTTCTTACGGAGCATAGCGCTGAGACCACCTTTTCGTTTCTTTGGCGTTTCTTCATCCAGGCTTTTCCTCTCTAGGCCTGCTTCAATCGTCTGCGTGTCGTGAGCAAGCGCGGCAGTTCTCAGCACCGCCTCGTTGTGTTGTCTGTCTGTCCTGGCTTGAGACTGTCGCAAAAGTTTATTCTGTTTCCTTTTGGCTTCATCCCTGCCTCTCACGTTCCTCACGGCTTGAGCAGCCAAAGCTGCCGGACTGACCGCCGCCTTCTCCTTCCCCTTGGCTTCGACAGCCCTTTTCTCCTCGAGAGGATTGCCTCTATCGTCCCGCGGAATTATTGTGCCATGAAGCGGGCACTTTCGGAGGTCTCGTCTCTGGCAAAGGCCTCCATTCCTCAGCGGTGCCGAGCAAGGACGTAACTCCGACTTTAAAGGCTGGTAGTACGATGCTCTCACTTGCATCTCCGCCATCTTCTCGGTAGAGATGAGAGCGTCCGGATCCACTCTTCCCCAGTGGTTGTCGAGAACCAGTCCCCTGTTGTTTGCAGGAACAGCAGCGTCGGAGCCCCAGGCGTCGAGAAACGATCCCCACGGCAGCACGGGAGCCTCCTCAAACAGCTTCTGCTTAAGCTCGGACATGGTTGCGTTAGATGACGAAGCCGTTCCTGTTGCTGTAGCCTGAGGTGAGGAACTCTTTCTGATTTCGCCACCTTGTTCCCGTTCTCGTTCTCGTTCTCGTTCTCGTTCTTGCTCTAGTTTGTGTCGTGGACCATCCAGCTTGCTCCTGTCAAATATCTCTTCTTCTTCCCATTCCACATCGTCGTCAGTGGTGGTTTTGGATTTGGCCACCTCGACAATCCCGAGCTCCTGACACTTATCCTTTAAGACCACCAGGCGGTTCCTCAAGTCGATCACCTCCTTCATGAGAGCATCCCGGCTTTGTCGATCTTCCGGGTCGACTCGCATCAAAACCGACAGCCATTCCTGCGCTGCTGGAAGATGTCTTGTTGTCACCAACTTGAGCAAATCCCGGGCCATGTCGAAAATGGCCTCGTTGTCGCGAGATTCCGTGACCATCAATTCCTCTTGATCACGCATGGACCGCAAGCTTTGGATCCCAAACACCTCACTACTGTCCTCTTCATCTTTGTCCACCTCCAAAAATCCATCCTCGTCCTGGACCACCTCCTCCTCCTCGCTCAAGATGGCAAAGCATTCTTCCAGCTGACTCATCGTCGACTCGAGATCTCTCCTCAAGCCAGGGAAATTCTCCGTGAGTTGGAGCAGCCGGCACCGGAGAAGATCTTGCGTGCGCCTGTCCCTGGCATTCTTTTCTTCCTCGGCTCGATTCGCGGCCTCTCGAACACCCGGAAAGTCGAGACGTAGCGTGAACTTCAAGTATTCGTAGCCAAGCTGGAGCTCCTTGTAGTGAGGCCCAAACGTCTCGTTCCATCTCTCCACGATTTCCAGCGCCTTAGCCTTGAGCAGCGCCGCTCGATCCGCGGGAGCTGGGAGCGGCTGGTCGGTGCGGTGCCCGAGGCAGAGAACCATAAATTTCTCGAGCACCGCCACGATCTGGCCGCGAAACAGCTTCGATCGCGTAAAGAGCTGATCGATGAGCAGCAGAGCGAGAAGCCTGACCTGTTGATCCGCCGGAGTGAGAATCCCTCGGCCGATCGATCAAAATACTAGACCTACCTGGGAGTGATTCTTCCCTAGCCGGTCCATGAGAAGGTCTGCCGCCGCCTTGACATTGTCATCCGAGGCGCGCACCAGCGCCTTGATCGCCTTGAGCAGCGGCTCCTCCAGCTCCTTGCCCGGGGAATTCGTGGCCGCGAGGATGAGATCGCTCAATCGCCCCGCCATTAAAGAAGAGCTAGGGCAATCGCGCGGGAGAAGAGATTGACAGGGTCTCAGGTTCGAATCCAGTTTCTAGTAAAAAGTTTCTCACAAGGTCTTAGGTTCGAATCCAGTTTCTAGCAAAAAATTGCCACGGCTTCTATTATTAAGTTGGAACTTTGGACATGGGAAGAAAGCGATTGAGGTAGCCCAGTATTAAACTATACAATGTGTCGGCTTTGAGGAAATATTCCAACACGACTGCAAAGAAACAAGCACGGAAAGATCTAAACAAAGTTTTCTCTAGAAACGTGGATCTCACCAAGACGGAAGCGAAGGTATGCGTACTCCACCAAAGATCTCGAGTAGAAAACAATTCCCTGTTCCCGAAAGCCTGGAAAATGATAAACTTTGAGAGCGATTCTAGATCTAGAATGTTTAAGATTTAACCTGGTTTTCCACGCTTGTGCATTGCACGGCCAAGCAAGGCGTAACGAGCGTACGTTTCAAGTCGCAGCCTTCGTGGAGCTCCTAGTTTGTGGACGATAGATCTCAGCAATCCACTGTTCTCACAGCGTTGATTATAAGAATAGGAGACTAGAGAGGTGCTTACTCTGTACGAAGGACGATCAGAAAGTCGCGAGAGAGCCCTTCCATGAAATAAGATATGTCGCCCATGGAAAACTTTCTTACTTCGTCCCTTAATCGCGTTCGTTCTTCGGGAGACATGCCTTTTCCGAGACCGGATTTGCTGCAAATCAATAGAACCAATAACTTCAGTGAAAGAAAAAGGAAAAACAATAACCAAAACCTGTCCAGCGTCCGACCGGTCAATATAACAGGCAAAAATCGGGAGTATTCGCCGGCACCGAGTTGCAAGCCTGACTTTTCCATCTCAGCAGGGTCGGAGGTTATCATCGCTTTCCACAAGTTGCAAAAGTTGCGCCTGAAATTTTCATCGAGCTCGCGATAGAGACCGTGATCCAGAATAACTACGAAATAATGTATGGAGAAGAAGGAAAAAGAAACATGGAGCGCATACCGATATGAAAGTTGTGCTTGCTCCCTCGAGCCGGATTATGGCTCACAAGAATGTTTCCAGGATGAGGATCCCCATGTACAACACCGTGACAAAACATCATCTCGGCAAAAATCTCTAGCAACACTCGAGACACCTAGAAAGAAGGATCAGACAACGAACAGCTAGAAAAGCTTCCATCTACCTGTTTAGAATCTATTCCCGCTTTCTCCATGCTCTCTACATCGTCAACCTGAAGAACACAATAAGTCAAACTGCCAATCAAATTAAAGCTGGATATGGCACCTTGCTACCGTGCATAAACTGCATCGTCAAAACTCGATTTGTGGTGTAATCCTAGGATGAATCATGTTGTTAGCCTGAAAACTTAAATGAGCTGCGAATAGAAAAGCTCACAAAGCTTTCCGTACCCAAAAAATTGAAGGAATTTTCACTTCCTTTTTGTTTGCAAAGTTTGCTGTTGCTCTTTCCGCTCTTCTTGCCTCCCGTGCGAAATCTAAAAACACAAAAAGTTCAGATTCGAAATAAAAAATATCGATTGCGGCTACTTGCCTAGTTCACTGAGAAGATTCTTTTCAAACTCCGGCACTAGCCATTCAAATTGATAGTCTGGAAAAAGCTGCAAAAAGAACGTCACGTTTCCCATGATTCAAGGAAAAACAACACGCTGACAATGATTCAAGCAACAGGAATAGAAAATACCCAAGCAACGCATTTGGAAAGAAAGGCCATCGTAGAAATATCGATCTCGAATTGTCGTTGCAATCCTGGATATTGGACCTGCTTACAAAAAACTTAAGCAACAGAAAAAAAAATCTTTATGATGAAGTGACTTACTTTGACAGCAACTTCTTCGTTTTCAGAGAGCCAAGCATGATGCACTTGAGCAAGTGACGCTGCAGCAAGAGGCTTTTCATCGAACTCGTGAAACCTGAAAGAACAACCAAGACAATGAAAGATATGCTACCAAGTACTTCTTCATACATGTCTCCTGGAGTCCTTCCAAACTCTTCTAAGAAAACTTGTTTTATTGCTCTGTAAGGCCAAGCCTGTGCCTAGAAAATCAAAAGAAAACACGAAATCAGGCAGAAACAAGCTTTCTCACAACGCACCTGATCTTGCAAAACTCGTAGAGTCTCGACATACTCCTTCGGGAACTGCCCGAGGGATGCTATAAACTGTCCAGCCTTTGTGTAAAATCCTCTGTTAGCTTCACAAAGTCTTAGAATGCGTTTAGCAGCTCTGAGATGGACCTACAAAAATAAAAATTCATTGAGCTGTTTGATCCTCGCAAACACGAGTGAGAGAATACCTGTGAAAGAACCTCGTAATACTCCTCGGTTTTCTTGTCATGGTCGCGCAAACTAAATTTGTAGTCTACACTGTTGAGCGCGAACTGGATATTTTCAGAGCCGAGTGAGCCTATGATCGATCTGCAAATCGATCTGAAGAGCAAGAGCGAAGAAATTCTGTACTTACAGTGTAAACAGCACGAGTCGATCGAAAAATTCCGAGCGCTGGCGCAGCTCCATCGAAGCTCTCGTATGCTACCAATCCAGCGGCGGCGACAACGATCGAGGCGCTTGTCAGCAGCGGCCTACGCCTGAGGCGCGCGGCGAGTAGCGCCATTTCTTTCCAGCCCTAAAAACTCTCTCTGGATGTAAGATGGAGAGAGTGAGAGGGAGTGAATATTCGTTTCTTGGATCTTCCATGGATTTTAGGTCGTGTTCTTCCTCGCGAGAAATTTGGGCGCGATGTCGAGCACAGTCTCCCAGACCGAGCGCGGCCATGAGAGATTCCGGGAGGGCAAGTACGAGGAGGCGCTGGAGCTCTACTGGGACGCATTGGCTGCCGCGACGCTGGATTCGCATCGCATAGCTCTCCACAGCAATCGCGCTGCGTGCTACCTCAAGCTCCGCAAATACAAGGAGGTGAGAACTAGAGCTAGAAATTCTCGCGGTCTAATGTCGAGAAATCCTCCATCCAGGCCGCGGAAGAATGTGGAGCTGTGCTCGAATTGGATGACAAGCAAGCCGGCGCTCTAATGCTCCGCGCACAAACGCTTGTCATCATGAAGGACTATCACTCGGCGCTGTTCGATGTCAACAGGCTGCTGGAGATCGATCCATCGTCTCCAGCCTACAAGAATCTGCAAGCCCGAGTCAAGACCCAGCTCGTAAGTCAGTAGTTCTAGCGAGAATTCGGCCGCTCTAACTCGTCGCAATCCAGGCACTAGATCCCATCCCGGAGGCCGAGAACGAATTCATGCCCGAATCCACTCCCAATTCCCCCAGAGTCTCCAAATCCCCCAACACGGTGCTGGCAGCGGCGAGAACGCCAACTCCCGCGAATTCCAAGGAACCGGGCACGAATTGGGAGGCCGTTCCAAAGCCCAAGGGGCATTCGAAGCTGGATTATTCGCGCTGGGACAAGATTGGCGCCGATCTAAGCGACGACGAGGAGGAAGAGATCGAAGAACAGCCCCAATACAGATATAAGCTAAAAACCATTGGCCTTAGAGCAGCCGCGAGCTATTGACAAGAACACTTTCACTGGGCCAGTGTAAAAATTCGCATACACAGGAAAATTCAAAGGAAATTCACAGGATAGTTAAAAAACTTTTTTTACTACTCTCCACCTCTATAGCCATGTGTCCGTGCGATGGGGGCATGACACCACCATGCTTGCCACCACAAAACGCTGGGCATGGACCCACCCATTTGTGATTCGTGCCATTAAACTATCATGGCCATGCCACATGATGCTAAGGAAACGGCAATAGCAATGGAGAAAGGGGTTCTAGGGTTTGCTTCTAGGGCATGGCACGCGCCTGGATCCATTCGACGCACTCCGGGTAAGCGCTCCTCCTTTCTCGCCTAGCGAGTGACAAGGCAGCTCCTCGGCGCTGGCGCGCGTGGCGCTGATTTCCCTAGCACTGAATTCGTTGCGTTTTTTTCCAGCGCGGATTGAGTGAGGGCCGAGGAAGGAATCCGGGCTTAGGGTGTAGAGCACTCGATCGATGCGTCGGCGCTAGTGGATCGAGTTGAGGGGAATTGCGTTGGATTGGATCGGATTGGAAGAATGGCCACGGCGCTGGAACCTGCCACTTACTGGTGCCATCAGTGCCACACGTCCGTGAGGCCCAACGCCGGGAATGACATCCTTTGTCCGTTCTGCAATGGCGGCTTCATCGAGGAGATCGAGAACTCGCCAGGGATCGTTTTCCCGCCGCATCGCCAGAGACCAACCGTCATCTTTGGTGGTGAGCCGGGATCTGGGAGGGAAACCAGAGGTATCTCTGCTGATGGCGATACTCCTCCCGCTGGTAACCAAGGTGTTCGTCATCCTCCAATTTTCCAGGTTCTCCAGGCCATGTCCGCGATTCTCCAGCAAAGTCGAGACAACAACAACAACAACAACAACAGCGCTGGTGCGAATCAAAGAGACGGCGCCGACCACGCGGATCCACTTGATCCCATGATCCTCGTCCAGAACATGTTTGGAGGCAGAGGTGGAAACGTGGAGGTGTTCTTCGACACGGGCACTGGAGCTCGACGCTTGCCGGCAAACTTTGGAGACTACTTCTTCGGGCCGGGCCTGGACCAGCTGATCCAGCAACTCGCAGAGAATGATCCCAACAGGTATGGCACTCCACCGGCGTCCAAGACAGCGATCGAAGCCATGCCAGTGGTGAGCATCACCAGCGAACACATGAGCGGTGACGGTGGGCAGTGCGCGGTGTGCAAGGACGAGTTTGAGCTGGGGTCGGAGGTGAGACAGATGCCGTGCAAGCACCTCTACCACGGCGACTGTATCCTACCATGGTTGGCGCAGCACAACTCCTGCCCGGTTTGCAGGCACGAGATGCCGACCGACGATCCAGAGTATAACAACACTGCACCGGGGCGAGGCGGGGCTCAAGCCAGCCGGGCTGCGAATGCCGAGATCGGTGGTGCTGCTGCTAGCGGTGGCGGCGGCGGCCCTGGTCGTGGTTTCACTCTCTGGGGATCTGGAGCGAACTTAAATCTGGATGGTCACCAGCACCACCAGGACAGCGGGAGCTCGAGACCGGCGGAGGAGCCCCGGAGTAACAGGCGAGTCTCGTTCCAGTTTCCATGGCCATTTCGCTCGTCTTCGTCTCCGCCACCAGCCCCAGCTCCTGCTCCTCCATCGTCGTCTTCGTCGCAGCAGCAGCATGGAAGCTCCTCGGCCAGCGACCAGCCGGAGAATCGAGATGACCGCCGTAACTAGCGTCGTACATATGTTTTCTAAGTGTACGGGGGGAAGAATAAGTGATAAGGAGTTGCTGGGAGGGAAGGGTGCGGAGAACTTGTGAAGTTTCCTTCTGGAAGAAACGTTTACGCGATGCTGGACGTAGCATGAGTAAAATGTGGTGATTATTTTTTATACAAGATTTATTTCTCCTCTCTTTCCTTTTTTTTATTAATTTATTTTTGTCCAATATCTACTCGACTTTTTGTTGGTTTATGGAAATATTTCACGTGTTTGTCATGCAAACACACACAATCCTTCCATTATGACGCACAGTACTTAAACCATGAGTGTGATAGATTGATCAAGGGTGGCAAAAATGTTGGTCCAGATCCCCAAACTTTAAGACGATGGGAATTTTCTCTTTTGAACTTTGAAAGTCCATCGAAAATTCGAAGGACCCAAGAAACTAGAAGGAAGACCACCCTTTAATTCAGAGACCTTAGACTCACCCGTGATTCTTCCCAGAATATCCCACCGCAGGATACCACGCACGCGGTACCACACGCTCCTATCCAACAAACGTGCACATTATCGAATGCGCACGTGAAGATTTGGCCTTGCCAGGTAGCCAGGTGGCACGGATGACGTCCCCGCGCTGACACGTGTCGCAACGTGGAGGGCATCCGTACGATCCAACGCGCAACGATTGGGGACATAAGAACCAGTGGGGGAGGCTTCGAAGGAGTGAGAAGAAACACCAATCCCCAAAGAACAGGGTCAAGACAAAGAAGAACCACTCCACTCCAGGAAATTTCCCCTCGATCCATGATCTTCTCTCCGGCGCGCTACAATTCGTGCTGCCTGGGATCGATGGAGGACAAGGAATGGAGCTCGCAGAGCAGTGGATTCGATGCGTTCTTCGATGAGGAGCTAATGCAGGGGATGTTCTACGATGTGGCTGGAACAGAGCAGGCGATCATGGTGGATGCGCTCGCCCACGCCGGGCATGATCAACAAGAGCAGCAGCAAAATCACGAGCCTAGTGTCCTTCCCGCGCTCGCTCAGGAGGATTTGAGCTGGGCCGCGCAGTCCAATTGGCGATCCAAGCGGGCCAAGAGCCACGATTCCTCTTCCAGCTCCGACTCGGATCAAACCAACAAGGCGCCCATCTCTGGTATGATCTCTTCTCCCTTGGGAATTCTCGACTAGCAGACGATCTTACATTCTATCATTCGCCTCGCAGAGACGAGCTCTGCTAGAGCGCTCAAACCCAAGAAGCCCAGCGATGGATCCACCAGGCGCCATCGCCGGACCAAGTTTCGTGGGGTGAGGCAGCGTCCCTGGGGGAAATGGGCTGCCGAGATTCGCGATCCAGTGAAGCAGGCCAGAGTGTGGCTGGGGACCTACGACAGCGCCGAGGACGCCGCGCGAGCCTACGACGAGGCCGCCATTCGATTCCGGGGCATTCGCGCCAAGCTCAACTTCCCGGACGATCCCAGGAACGCCTACGAGATGTTTCCCTACCAGCCCAAGCGATCGGACGCTGCGATCGCGCAGGCATCCAGCGGCAGCGCTAGCGCTTCCATGCTACCGCCCCAAACAGAGCATAAGCAGCTAATGTCAAAAATGCCCACACAGGGGATTTGCATCGCGCCCACGGATTCCACCAAGGTTTCGGCCCAGCAGCAGCAATTCCCACTCTCGATCGACGCCGCGCGGTGCATCAACAAGCTCTCGGATCTTCTCTTCAGCGACTTGAGCTCGCCAGTGGCCATGGTGGCCCCAGAAGCGCATCAAATCAATCAGCCACTCCCGGAGAGGAGGAGCTTCCCATCTCCCCCGCCGCTGGTGGTCAATCGCGCGTCAATGCCATCGTCCTCGTCGTTTTGGGTCGATCAACTGCTGGAATCTCCGCAAGTGGCGTCGTCGTCGTCCTTGTCGATCATGGAGGCATCAGTTGTATCATCATCCACAGCACTGGAGCAACTCATCTCGCAGCCAATGTGGAGCCCAACTGCGATGGTGGCGCCCATCTTCACGCCGCAAATCGCCGAGGCCTCCTCCAATTCCCCCACGGCCACGCTCTGGCCTTCTTTCACCTTTTCTTCCTGTTGACAATCAAAACCACGAGACCATTGAGTCCATTGTTCCCAGGAGTGATCTTGAGCTATAGTCACTTTAAACCATGGTTTCTTGCTCCATCTCGACAGCCTGCTCGGCACACTTTGCTATGGAGCACGCCAGCTTTTCCGGCGATGGTACGTGAGAGGCCGCGGTAGCCGCGGCAGTAGGCCATTTCTTGAGCCTCGTCTGGAAGAACAAACCCTCGAGAGTGAGCGAAAAAGCTGGCAGAACTTTGGTTTACCTTGGCTTGCTCCTCGCAGTACTTGACAACGTCGGCTATGCTCGCTGCTCGGCCGTGAACCAGCGCAAAAGCCCATAGCAGCAGCTTCCTTGGAGTGCTGAGGTCGAGAGGATCAAACCCCGGGATCGCTTGGATGCCTGCCGCTGGCTCGGTGGACGCTGCTCCCAGGGGTGATGCCATGAAGAGGTTTATACCGCTCGGGAATGGCCCCGACGTGACTTCCCGGTAGAACACGAAGGTGGCACGGAGGTAGCTGTGAGCTTTCTCGGCGTTGTCCGGAGAGACTTGGACGATCGGCACGGCTTTGATGCGGGAGATGTAGGCTGCGGAGGCCGGAGGAGCAGCGCTTTCTTCCGCTCTGGCTGCTGCTGGAGATGGAGAGACTTGGGAGATCTTGCTCGTGGTGTCGGCGTCGTAGGGGCTGAAGAGGAGCACGTCGTATTGCAAGTCGACGATGAGCTGCGGGGTGTGGTCCGGCAACCTCTCGAGCGGGGTGACGGACGCGAGGGCCGAGCAGAGAGCCCGGCACCAGGCGACGGTGGCGTGCCGGCAAATCTGTGAGAAGTGAGGATTGCTTAGCTTTTGATGCTTGAAACGCTTCCGTATCCTCTCGTTCACGAGCTCCAGTGCGTCCACGCGACAGTCGTTCTCCAGGTAATGGAGGTAGCGATGGATGTAGCTGAAGGAAAAGAGCTTAGATCTTTGGAAAAAAAAAACAAACAATGGATCTTTCTTACCAGTAGACAGCCACTTCTTGTCCCTCTGACTCGGACGTCTCCGCCCACCATATCCCGTGATCCATGAAGAGATTAAACATTCTTTCGAGAAGGCCTTGCAAGGAACTAAAGGACGAAGACGAAGAGCTTTCGGCCTGAGTGATGGTTGCGCCCAAAGCATGCACGTAGGATGAAAGCGCTGCGCTTGCTATATCTTCGAGGCAAATGGAGAACTGAAAGAACCGAGACCAAGACATCGGAAGATCACGTAAAACGCGAATTTTTTTCTCTACTCTCTTACCCTCTTGTCTATGCGGAGTGTGGAATATGCACGCTCCAATGTGACATAATCTCCAGCCTTCTCGCAGAGAACGAAGTAGAGTAACAGGTACTTGCGAACGCATGTGATAAACTTTCGGGAGCTTTCTGGGAGCCCGAGCTCCAAAGTCTTCTTGGCATAAGTGTGGCCGGTTGCCTTGCGCCTGCAAAAACAAAGACCTGTGAAATGGTTGTTTTCCTTGCAACAAAACTTACTTGTTCTTCTTGATAACGCCGTCGAGTTCCCACATATTTATCGTGAAGAGCGATCGACTCGATCGGAAACAAAAGGCGAGCTCTTCCTTGGCTCTCTCCCAGTCCTGTTCTTCCGCTCGGCAGTAGAGTCCTTGGGCAATGCAGAAACGAGCCTTGTGAAAGTGCTTTAATTCTCCATCAGTGCACGCCTGCATGGCGGAAATACAGTCCTTGAAAAGAGCTCTCCATGCCGTCGCTATGTCACTCTGATAAGCTTCCTCGTTGCCAACTTGCTCGTCTGGTTGCTTGAGCTTACTGTTGACGAGCTCTTCTGTAGAACTTGAATAACAAAACTTGGCCACAGTCTGGGGAAGGAAATCATAAAAACTTCTATAGTCTCGCTACATGGAAAACAAAGTACCTCGATGATTTGCATGTCGTGATAACGCCCTTTGCAAAGCAGCTTCAGCCGTGAGCGATGCAGACGGTATAAAGAGTCAACAGCTGAAGGATTCAGCTCAATGGCCCTCTTGTACAAGCTAAAGGATTCTTCGCTGGGCTTTTCGAGTTTCTCAGAGAGCTTGCCAAGATAAAGCAAATGCGTCCAATCCGGTCTGCATACCACAAGCTCAAAAACGAGATCTAGAGAGATATAAAGAAGGAAATACCTCAGTGAATATGCTATCTCGCAGTGCTTGATCGCATTTAGGCACCTCGAAGTCCAAAGAGCGTCTTTCTTTTGAACGTGAGAGCGTTGATCATACGAAGGAACTGTATTCTGAAGAGTCTCGTAATAGACCAACGCCAGAAGCTCGTGAATCTGGAACTACATCATCAAGCATCACAGCAAATTTGGACTTGAAACAAGTACTCACCTCGTGCTTTGCTTGAGGAGCTAGTGCCAAACTCATCAAAAGGCAGCGTCGACTTCGTCTCCGGCTAGTTTCCACTCTGGACGTTAGCCTCGCGTTCTTTCGCCACTCGAGAACATTTACATTCTTGCTACCGTCGTTAAGCAGGAGATCAACTTCCTACAACCAAAAAGATCACACAGAGATCAGATCATCAGTCTTAAACAAAGAAGAATACCTCGTCGTAAATGCCTGCGAGTTTGTGCCAGCTCTCGAACCGCAGCATGTTGTAAAGAAGATCGTATTTGAAGAGGCTCGAGACATGCTCAAAAAACTCCTCCCCTTCCTTCGTGAACACGAAACCAGGCGATCTATCGGTCGGCGACGTCTCCTCCACCTGACTTAGCAGGAAATAGAGATTCTGGTACACCTCCACGTAAGACTGGGTGTTTGCTTCAGCCTCTTCACTCTTTGGTTCCTCTGTAGGAGTGGAATAGATTACCACGGCAGTAGCGGGATTCTCCTCTTGCTTGGGAAAAGCAAAGCTGACAAGCTCGTCGACGTTGGTTCTGTTGATCACCATCTCCGAGAACTTGTCCTCGTCAAAAGACAAGTCGTCCATAAAGGCGTCCACGGCATTTCCCACCAGGATGTTTGAAGGTGGCTGAGGAAACTGCTTACGAACGGCTTGCAAAACCTTTCGCAGCTTTCCCAGGCCGGTTTTCTGCAGGTGGAATCGAATCCATCAGTCGAGCACAAGAGTAGAAACAGCCAAAGACTTACCGAGCACGCTTTAGCGTAGGGAAGAACATACTGAAGCACGGCGGCACATTGCTCTTTCGACTGAAAGTCGCCACCACTCGGTGTCTTGTGGAAGGCCAGATCGCTGGAAGCTCCTGACTCGAGGTCCGACTTGAGGTTGAGACCATACAAGCAGAAGAAGCACTGATCCAGCGCCTTGTCCAGGCCGCCAGCCTTCCTTCTTTCGAGGTCCTCGCTCTCGCAAATCTTCTTCTCGGATAAATCAGTGAGTGACTCGGACCTTCTCACGGAGCCACTCGTCGCTGTGCTTTCTTGTGTACGTGCGTTCTCGCTCTCAGCATCCCGCTGCTTCAGCATCACCTCCAGCGACAAGAGATGCTTGATAGCCATCTTTAGAAACGAGCCTTCTCCTTCGTCACACGAAGCTCCGGCCGCGCAAACTCCCCGATCAGCCAGTATGTCATGCACTGTTACAAGAAGACCCACCTAGAGGAAGGATCGTGAGTGATATGAATGTAAGAAAAAATGTGTGTACCTGTTGCTCCACGGGCAATGCTGGATGAAGCTGCTGAACCCTGCAAAATGCAATGGCCGCGTCCACGAAGAAGCTCGTCTCCAGGTTCTCGCTGAGACTCGAGTTGGAGTGCTTTCTGCAGGAGAATCCCGATCCAAAATGGATCAGAACCGCCAGGAGAGCATTCTGGAGACGTCCCAGTGGTAAGTCGACATGTCTAGAGGAGTCCGCCTTCTTGAGAGCAGCGGCACACCGTGAAAGCAGCCTGACTTCCTCGGCGATTTTCTTGCTCCAAGTTCTAAGCTCCTTGGCCCTGTCGTCGTCCATCTCACCGCTTGCAGCGCTCCCTGGCGAGAGCGACAGATCGTCGTCGGGTTTGACGAAAACTCCAGCACAGTGACAGAAGATCTCCAGCCTTTTGAGGTGGCACTTCAGCTGGATCACAAAGTTGGCGGGCTTCACTCGTTGACACGCAGATATAAGCATGCCGAGCGCCTTGAACTCCTGCGATTGCATAGCATCGGTGCACTTGCCGCTGAACGTTTTGGATGCTCTGTCTGAGAAGAGTGCCGGCTCAAGAACCTTAATGAGCTCCAAATACTTCTCTTCCTTGTCCAGCTTGGCCACCGTGTTTTTCAGCAAATCTCCAACTTCAAACTCGTATAGTTTCTGCTCGGCCATTTCCAACGATATCCTTTTGTCCATCTTGCAGTGAGGCAAAACTATCGCCGTGTAGCGCTCGCGTTGTGCTTGGAGCAAGCAAAGGCACTTTCGAAACTCGCTGAATCCTTTCTTTGGATTACCAGCGAGCATGCAGTAACGCCCGTAGACCCAATGAAACCGAGCCCAGAAAATCCACCCGGCATCCCTTTCGATGCTGCTGCTTCGTAGAGCATTATTTTCCTGGTCCCAATCAACTTCCAGAGCCGACCACTCGATAACCCGGCATATGTTGTAGTTGCAGTGGTCGAGGAGCTTGCCTGGCTCGGCAGAAGAAGACGCAGCATCCAAGTATAACTCGGCCAGGAAGAGATTGCACCTAGAACTCCTGCCGTTCCCCCAGTGCCTGGTATACTTTTCCAGCTCGAGAAGAAGCTCGCTTTGCTCCTTCCAGTCTATACCACTGCTAGAAACGCGCTCGAGAATAGCGTGTCCAACGTGATATAGTCCACTGTTGTTCGCATAGTCTTGCATGAACTGCGTCACCTCTCTAGCTTCCACAGTGACGCAAGAGGCCGAGCCCTCGGGTGAAGACGACGAAGCAGAAGCCGCGTATGCCAAGGAGCCGTCTACTCGCTCGCAGTGCGTGATAACTGAAGCCTCAGGATCGACTTCGACCTCTAAACGCGAGCTGTCGATGATGAAAGGCTCGAGAAGTTGTGTCAAGCTCTTGGGACAATCGGCCACCGCCTCCTCACCTTTGATCCGGCTCCGTAGCCGAGTGCTTCGACGTTCGTGTGCATGGCTGTCTTCGACTTCTGAGAGCTTGCTCGGGCTTATCTTCTCGGCAAGAGAGACCGTGTCGCAGCCACTATTGTTGAGAAGAAGATCATCTGTCAGCTTGGCAGAAGTCTGGCCGCTGCTACCACCATCGGGACCTTGCACCGAGAAGAAAACGCGAGAATTGGCAAGATAGCAGCCGTTCTTCTCTTTGAGCTCTTCGCTCTTCAAAACCTTCCCATGCTGCCTATTTTGCAGTGACTCCAGAGTAGCCTTGACAAGGAGAAGCCAAGACGGCTCCTGTAGCGTTAACTGGACCGAGTACTGCTTCCTTTTTTTCCTCTTGGATGTGTCCGGGACAACGTCGAGCTTCCTCTTCCGTTGAAACGAAAGGTTGGTATGCGTCGGTTCCAAACCGTCCATCCCCGCAATGCCAGTGCCATGGTGCTTGCCTTCAATAACGCTCTTGATATGAAGCGCGCGAGGGTGCGAAGGATGGAACTTAAGCAGACGTTTCACGACTGAGATGCAGCCTGTCTCGTCTCCAATGGCGATCAAAACTTCGACAAGTTTCTCCATGCAACTCCCTGGTCGGAATAGAACTGCTGGTAAGATCTTCCACACGAAAGATATGAATATATTCTTACAGTGTCGTGGACTGCAATGAAGACCCTGCTCAAACGCTTTGCGTGCGATATTGAGCTTTCCAAGCGAGCAGGCGAGTGTTCCCAGACGATTCCAAAGGACGACATCCTTATCGTCGATCGCCACAGCTTGCAAGTAATAGTGAAGACCTTCAGCGGAAAACTCTGGCCCTTGCTTCACGTAAGTCTCGGCTAAGTTTCTGTAAGTTAAGAACCTGCACGAGAAAAGATGATCAAGGTCCAAGCTTTTTCTTTTTTCACTCACCTCAAGTGGAGCATTGCATCGGATTTTCCTCGCTAGATGGAGAAACACAGCGAAGAAACAATCATAAGGACTCAAAGAACAAATTTGGAAAGAAAAGCCTAAAGTGTTTGAAGTTACCTGTGACTTGATGGACAAAGGATCTTGGATGATCGCCTGGAAGAGACTCCGAGCATTTGCCAGGTCCCCGCTTTGCAGACTTGACAAAGCATCTTGGTAGAGCTTCGTGAGATGAGACTCCTATGTCACAAAAACTAAGTTTAAAACAACTAGCTACATTCTTTCTAACCTGAGATTCTAACCTGCGCTTCTTTTGTGGGGGCCAAAGGCTCCAATCGGCTTTTGGAATTCTCACTCTCGTTGATAGCTGAGATCGCGTACTGGCAAGGCGACCGCGTTAAAGAAGAAGAACAAGAAGAACAAGATGGAGGCTTGCTCGACTTACCATCACGGAGTCCTAGAAACCCTAACAAAATGAAGAGAGAATGAAGAAGGGGAAAGGCTCTTTTGTTCGCAGTCGCAGAGGGCCAAGGATGGATCAAAGGAGAGAATGCAAAGAAAAAGAATGCTATACTTTGTTTCAGGAGATGTGCCTTCCTGACATGGAAGTGAATAACTACAACATATGCCGAGAATGGGCAACCAAAAATATCGAGTTCCTGGAAAAATATTCTAGATAAGCTCCTGCAAGAACTGGGCAATCTTCTATCGAGCTTACAAACCACCATGTTTGATTGCTTACGACATTCCGAGAATAGAGCATGTTTCAATCGTTCAAAAGAAATAAATGGGACATTTTCGCGACCGAACATACATGCCAAGACACCCAAATGTTCTCTCCTTGCAAGTATATTCACGATGGATCTAGGGCTAAGGAGATCGTCAACCACACCCCATCACTTCTCTTGTAAAGTGATAGCCCTCGAGAAGACTGGAGATCTTTTCATGGAATGCAAAGCGCATAGACGCCGACATGCCTGATCGGTGGTCATTATTGAATCCCAAATAGTCGGCCGTGATTGATCCTTTATTTTCTTGTTGGGGATGCTCTTTAGAGGATTAGATCTTACTATGGCCAAAGTGGCAATTGCATCACTGGTGAAAGGTATTTTCCTGGCCAGAGATAGCAATGTGCAGCCAAAACCATGGTCATCATATCCATGGCAGCTAGCCCACAGCTATTCCCAGCCATGACCTCTCGGGCAGAATGATAGGAGAGCACATTTGTTTTTTTAAAGGCTTTGTTTTGATGGTTTTGCACAGTATCACATTCCTACTTGCAGCCAAGAATTTGGCTGGGCATTCTAGAAGATCTTGGTTTTTGTTTATTCTTCATTTTCTTTGCTTATAAGCTTTGTGTACCTTACTTTGATGATTTGGAAGATATGGAGGTGTCACAAGTGATGTGCTATAACTTTGACAATCCTAAACAGACTCCAAAGCCATGCAGCAAATTTTCTCACGATGGAAGGCATTGCAACCAACTTAACTCCTTAAAACTCTATAGAAATGAAAGCAAAAATTTTCATGCTGTTATCAATGGCAGTGCTTTAAGTGTGGAAAAACTAATCACCTAGCAAAAGTGTGCGTTGATAAACTAAAGTGAGGATGAGGAGGAGTTAGGCAAGAAGAAGGCATCAGACTTCAAGATACTTACAAGCCTTCCTTTGCATTGCTCTTCTGAACAATATGATTTTTCTCACCTTTGTGCATATCGGAGTTCTAACAAGGGCAAATCTTGAGTTTGCCTCATGGTGTATTGGTCATTCTAGCTTGCTGAGAATTATAAACTCTTTAATCTTTAGTTGTTTACAAGGTACCTATAAGTTCACGCTTTTTTAACACCCTTTTTATATTAAGCTTTCCCCAAACCCAAAAAATACTTAACTCTAAATATCCTAATAATCAGTTAGAAATATTTTTCTTCTTTATATTTAAACCTTAACTTTCTCTTCCTTGTTTACTTTCTTTTTACTCCAATTTTGATGCTCTCCATCTAAACTTATATATGAGGATGAGTCCAACACCCAAGACAAGTAGACGCAATCAGTGAAGAACCAACATTGGGCAAGTTTTGTGGAGTCATTAGAGCAGCCTATCTTGTCTCAGCTATTTTATTATATAATATTTATATAATTTTTTCTAGTATCAACTAATGATAGTTTTGAAGTATAGTTTTTGTCTTTTAACTTTTATAAGATATATAAACTATGTATAGAAAATGATACAGTATATATAAAAATACTTAATTATATGCAACTCAAGTTGGTCTGAGGCTCCTATGGTAATCAAACACTTTGGACCACCAAGACCCATGATAGCTCTACCAATGACACTAATAATAACATTCTGAGATCTTTCACGGTAGCTCTAAAACCAGGAACAAGAGTTCCATCAATTAGATCCTGAGCCAAGACCATTAGCACTACTTTCACTTCTACCAACACAACACTGTGAGAACTTGAGCCAGCTCTGGGAACAAGAGTTCCACTGGCAACACTAATGTTATAGTATTTTCATTAATATTTACATTAGCTGCCAATTTCTGGTGTGAATAAATTATTAAATTAAACTATCAACTCTATAAAATCTAATATAATAATATGGTGGTGTGAACACATTACCATTAAATTAGCTTGATAACACAAGCCATTGAAGAGGAAGTTCCCCATCCCATTTACACATGCTGTACATGTCCCTTGAATGCACCTAAATGCACCTGAAGAGCAACCCATATTATTGAAAATGACAAGGTGACACAACGTCATGCATAGGCATCTTGTTGAACAATTCCATTGTTTCTTCCATTCTGGGTGTTTGCAACAAGAATTATATTCGATGAGACTAAAGTCCTTCCAGTCATCATTCGAACAACTTCTTTGTGCACCATGTTTAGGAAACCACGAGAATGGGCCTCTAAATCTGCTTGTCATTCATGGTAGCGCTACCAGCCTTTACCGATAAGCCACAACCAATCCAGTGTCACTCCTACAGTGACGCCCGCAAGTATGAAGACCACCAAGATGTTGCCCAATGCATTTTGCTCCGGCTTCTGTACATAATATCAGAGGTCATAGAGAAAAATCGCACAAGCAAACACACACACACCTTGTAACCATTTGGCGCGGCGACGAGAACAGACGTGGTCAAATGCCCGTTGCTCAAGCCCAGAAGGATGCACAACATGACCATCCAGCCTTGATCGCCAAACTTGGCTGTCAAATAGAACGCAGGGAGGAATAAGTATCTGGCAATCACTGCTACCAACATTTGGGTTCTCGACTTGAGCTTGAGAGCTGGTACGAGGGGCAAATATCGTCCAGTGAGATCTCCAAAGTTGTACATGGCGATAAGAACCACCACATACCTAGGAAAAAAGAAAACTATATGAAAACCGCCAAGAAGCAACTGCTTACCAGGATCCTAAGCTGTGCTTCCCAGTATCCTCGGCCAGAAATCCTGGAAAGATTGACAACGTGAGCACAAAAATTGCAGCAGCATCAAATGCATAGTCCAAGTTCTGCGTAAGCAGCTGAAAATTGGACAGCCTAGTAGTTGGACATTCTTCTGCATCCTGCATGCAGCACCAGCCACCAATTGTAAGTTGTAAGTTGGATAATTATCTTTTAATCCGACTACCTTGTCTATGTGAATGCCTGCGGCTGCGAGATCAGCACCAACTGTGGTTGCACCCTCCAATGCAGCAGCTTTTCTATAGTTCTTGATGGTTTCCAGCTTTGGAAAAACTACGGCATACAGTAGTAGGCACAAGAGCTGGAAAGACGTAGAAAGGAAGAAGAAAACAACTGTAGAAACGATCACACTAGTTGATTTGCAGGACAAGCGTTGAAAACTTACGTGCTCCTTTACGAAGCCCGCCCTTGGTGCTGGCAAAGCATGCCTTCGTTACAAGCCTCAAACCAGAAGTGGCAGCACCAGAGGCACCAGCTCCAGCAGAAAATGACTGCATGAGATGCCGATTAGCATGAACAATATAAAGTCTCAGTACCTGAAGAAGATGAGGGTGCATGTAAGAAAGATCTCCAACAAGTCCACCTTGCACGAGGCCATCGCATAGACCGAATAACATGCATAAGACACAGAGACCTGTGTAAGGTGCGAGGCCTCCTCCGCCATGACTAGCCAAATCTATCTGCAAACTTCATTGTGAATTAGTCGATCAGCAGAAAGAATCTACTCACAATGGGAACCATCAAGGAAGAGACAAAATACAGTGAGAAGCCCAGGAGAACTCGGAAGCGGGTATCCACCCTGGCTTCGTGGTACGCTAGAACCGCTACAGTGAAGAAAGCAGAGGCTTGGTATATCAGTGTCAGGACTCGAGAGGGATGGTATGCCTGGAAAAAAACTTGTCAATTGGTATGCTGAAGAATGTTTTTCAGACTCACCGCAAACACAACCAAATAGTAGTCCATGACAGTAACCATGCTGTTCCAGGGGAACAAGAGGCCAAGCCCAAGAAGCATACAGATTACATAGCTCACAGCAGACTGTTTTCCCTGAAAAATCACGAGTTTGTCCATGTGAACTAATCCCCATTACCTGTTTCAGATGATCTTCCATGCCGCTGCTTCTAGCTCTGCTGAAATATCAAAATACGGATCGAAACAAGAGAGCCTTGTCATTTTGTTTGACTAGACTGTGACACGTTTCTGTCCATAAATCAGATGGGTTTCCGTCGCTGTCACTGCTGGTAGCTTCAGCACGTCTGTTTTCTAGATACAATTCTGCGTGGGGTTTTCAAAACCGCGAAATCAACAAACCCAAGGCATAAGTCGACTAGCCGCAATCAAGACGAGGTCTTGGGGTTAACCTTGTAGCATCTCCAATCAACAGATGGGAAAATCCGGTTGGTATTGCCATCCGTAAGGAGCACAACTACGCGGCAATTATAATCATCTTATGAAGCAAAATTTTTTACAAGGAGATTTCTGTTCAGCTTACCTGAGAAATCGGTGCGATGACCAATCTCCGTTGAGAAATGTGTCCTGCTGATCCTGCTTCTGGATTTTGCAGATAGGAAATCGAAACAGAATGGAGCAAGAGAAGACACTATAACTGCTGCTGATCATGGCTCAAAGAATCTTGGAGCTCAAAGCAGTGACCTCGGAGATTGGACGATGATTCGGTGTAAGCATTGTATCACCGGATTCATGCTGTTATAAATGTCGAGATTGAAACTGAATGAGCAGCTTGCGAAGGAAAAAACCTTATCTTTAGCATGCACTATCGTAACTTAATATCTTGTTCACTAGAATGCAATCCGTGGCTAGAAAGCTAGTTGCCAGGGCACTTCAGCCACTTAAGATGGAATCGCAAGCAGAGCAAACCACCAATTCCGTGCTGCACACACTACTTAAGATGAAATGAATGAAAAATTAACGAACCCAACGAACCCAGGTACGCAAACAGCATGTATACACTTACATTCATGGTAGAGACTTGAGGAGTAGGGATCACTCTCCATAAGTGATGCTTATCGACTCAGTTTTGTCAACACAGTGACAGCTCGTGCCCCCGCTCCTCATTGTTTCTCCACACGTGCTCTCGTCCTCCCAAAGTGTCATGTAGCATGACCATTCAAAGAAAACATCATCCCAAATTTTTGGGAAGTAGCTACTAGAACCCTTGTTATCAGTGTCGTCCAGAGCTATCATATTCTTGGCTATGGACTTTCAATCACTCATGGGATCATTTAACGGTCGTTTTCTAAAAAACAAGGGAAGCGTTTTAGCACAAGGAGGAGTGAGACGAAGCGGTGGCTGTGTAATGGCTTTTCTTGCAGCAGAAAAAAGAAAAAAAAGAGCCCTAGCTCGAGAAGATTGGCCTGCTGGAACCCGCTTTGTTCGCGCAGTCTTTCATGAACTGCGTCACCTCTCTAGCTTCCATAGTGGCGCAAGAGGCCGAGCTCTCGAAGATCCAGAAGCGCGTATGCTAACGATCGACTTCGACCTCTAAACGCGAGCTGTCGATGATGAAAGGCTCGAGAAATTGTTGGGCAATTGGCTCTTCGCCTTTGAGTGCTTCGCCGTTCGCATGGCTTGCTCGGGCTTACCTTCTCGGCAACAGAGACAGTGTTGGAGCCACCGCTGTTGAGAAGGTCAACTGTCAGCTTGATCTGCATTGAGCTTGATCTGCAGCAGGTATAGTGTCTTTTCTTGCTCCATTTGCAAAATCCAGAAAGAGGATCAGCAAGACACGTTTCTCAAATGGACATGGGTCATTGTTTACGATGGCCCAGACGGAGTGATCATGCACCACATTAGCAATGAATTCTTGAGGTCAGAATCCAAGCTCAATTCATATAACAACGTCGCTACCACAAGCACCTAGAATATTATTTCAAATGACAGTCCCTCCCAAGCATGGAGGAACACACTACTTGTGTACTTCTTTACCTCACGGCGAGAACTTTATAGCTTCTGGCCTGGTGCATGGCGTGTGCTCGAAACTGCAAACAAAAGCATCACTTCCCTCGTCCTATCAATGGCGCTTGCGCATCTGAATAAATCCTGCTCCGCCCAACATGCCACCCGGTCCTTAAGACTCTCTAGCACCTGGAGTGGATTTGAAAACCACATTGGACGGTGTGAACTTGGGTTTCTACGATGATCTCCGGATGATCTCGGCCAGCGAACTGCTAAACTTGGGCATTTGCATCTGCCGCTTGACGTCCCGCTTGACTTTAGCGCGTACCGCTTTCAAGATCTCGGCGCGTTTTCTCATCCCTGTCGTCCGCGCCAGAGCAAGTGATGCCACCATAGGGGCTATGGATGGCATAATAGTCATCGATCACCTCGACTCTGGCGATGAAGATCTCTACCTCTGCGGCCTTGATCCCACACGCGACACAAGCAAAGGGCTACCAGAAAGTTTTTTTTTTTTTAAGAATAAATTTTATTTTTAACCATTCCATGACCATGAATCAGGGAAGAAGATAACCTGAAGAGACAATAATGAATTTGAAAAAGCAAATTTAAAAATTGCCTTACTTCCACACTGATAGTGATGGGGAAGAGTTCGATGGCATTTTCTAGTAATGGTTAGAATTGAACTCAAGCTGACATACTTTGTGACATCTTCCTCACAAATTTACAACATGTTGCAGAGGGATTTGTGCTCTTGCAATTGCTGAGAATTCCATTGATGTTGGTCTCACATGTTGCATCAGCTTCACAGAAGCTAAAGAAGGAAGCAGTTGTTACAAGCAACAATACAAATATTTTACTCTGATACCAATGTTAGGATCTTATCCCTTACACCCTAAGCCAACTGACTAAAGGGGTAATCACTTGATTGCAGGGCACTTTCATTATCCTATTATCTTAACTTGGTGCCTAACAATATCACTACCATTCTTCAATGCCTTAGATGTTGTGCATGGTTCTTATATAGTGGAGATATGTTCCATGAACATTGTGAATGACAATAACCAACAAACAACAAATTCTAATGTTGACTGGCAAACACACCGTGCTTCAACTACTAGTCAAGCACGGCATGATAAACTAAAGCATATGCTTGGACTCGCACGGCATGGACTACTAGCACGGCATGCTTGCACATTTAAATTGCATGAGTTTGACCAGCAGACAATTCGTCACATGACCTAGAACAAATATGTGACTTTTGTTGGACCAGCAGCGAAAAATATTGGACTCTTTGATGTCGCATTCAAGATATAAAGTCTGGTGATCTTTAAATTTCTAGTGCAAACTCTATCCTGTCACAAGAAGAAAATGTTTTCTCACTGGGGCATCGTACTTCTCTTCGCACTTGGCATGAATCTTTCTGCTGAGGTATGATTACATGATTCTGAAATGAAACTCCTAAGGTGTTCTTTCTTTTGTATAAGATCATGGACATGGAAATTCTACTGGAGTTCAAGCAAGGCATGTTGCAAAGCAATTCTACCTTTTCTAACTGGCATGAAGGAAACAAGGGTGGGATTTGCAGCTGGAGAGGCATTAGTTGCAATTCTAAACGCCAAGTAGTGTCCATACATCTATCCTCTGTGGATCTCGATGACGCCTTGGTGGGAACTCTCACGCCAAGGCTTGGGCAGCTTTCATATCTTTCAGAGCTCGATCTATCGTTTAACAAAATAACGGGGCAAATTCCTACCACCCTCGGAAATTGCTCCTCACTCACAGAGCTCAACTTGAGAGGGAACCAATTGACTGGCCATATTCCAGCAACATTAGGGCAGCTCCAGAATCTCACTGAGCTCTGGCTATCTGATAATTTCTTGAGCGGGTCTATTCCATCGAGTGTTGGGAACTGCTCCAAGCTGCAGTTCCTCAATCTGGAAAACAACACCTTAACAGGCTCTATATCTCCATCGCTGGGTAAGCTCAAGAAATTGGAAAGGTTATCACTTCTTAAGAACAATTTGGAGGGGCTTATACCAATCACTCTTGGAAACCTTTCGCGCCTCACATTTCTAGACATGTCTGACAACCTTCTATATGGCCCATTACCTGGCTCTTTTGCTGGTCTTCGTAGGCTAAAGTGGTTGGGACTATCGCGAAACTATTTTCTCAACGGATCGATTCCTTCTGATGTTATGGTGGGCATGCCATCTCTAACGCACCTAGAGCTCCATTACAACAACTTTACAGGAAACATTCCCATGTTTAATGCGTCTTCTCCTGTCGTGCTACTTCGCTTGGACGTTAACAGCCTGACAGGAAGCATTCCGCATTCAATCACAGAGATCAAGGCTCTCCAGCAATTGCACCTCAACAAAAACTATCTAGATGGAAGCATTCCAAAAGGCATTAGCCAGCTGGATCGTCTTGAGACACTTGACTTGAGTGACAACTATCTCAGAAATGAAGTTCCTCCACTCGACAAATGCACCAATCTTGGCTATCTCGACCTCCACGGAAACTCGATACGGAGCAAAATGCCAACGTTTGGTGCATGCACTAACCTGGTTTACTTGGATCTCTCAACGAACGAGTTCCAGGGAGAGATTAGCTCAAGGCTAGGGAATTGCTCCAAGCTCAAGGTTGTCAACTTTGCGCAGAACAATTTCACGGGTGAGGTGCGGCTTGACTTGAGTAACTTAACAAGTTTGGTCTTCTTTGTCATTTGCAACAACATGTTGAGTGGCACCATTTCAGTCAAAAGCTTGAATTCCACTTACCTCAGAGTCGTGGACTATAGTAGGAACCATTTCACAGGCGAGATCCCTCAAGAGACTTGCAGCTGGTCTGGAATTATGATATTGTCTTTTGCATACAACAAGCTGTTTGGCCAGATTCCAGCTTGCATCACCAATCTCATTTGGCTCCAAATTTTAGATTTGTCAAACAATAAGCTCATAGGGCAGCTGCCAGGCAAGCTTTGGAAGTTTCAAGGTTTCAAGGGCAACACTAGTGGGGATTTGAATCTTGGCATTTATACAGGGGTTCAGTTGAACCTGGTTATCACGGTCAATGGCGCAAGGTTACAGTTTGATCGGACAACCATCGTTGTTTCAAACAACATGACTTCATTAGACATCTCAAGCAACTCTCTCGAGGGCGTCATCCCAGAAGAAATTGGGCAACTGGTTGGACTAATGCATCTCAACCTCTCGCACAACCAGTTCACCGGTGCCATACCTCTCAATCTTTCCAGCTTGAAAAAGCTTCAGTCGCTTGACTTGTCGTGGAACATGCTCCAAGGCAGGATCCCAAACGAGTTTGGGGAATTGCCTTTGTCTGCCTTTAATGTTTCATTCAACAACTTAAGCGGATTGGTCCCAACTGCTTACAATATCAACACTCGATTTCCACTTGCATTCCAAGGCAATAAGAACCTTTGTGGGTTTCCATTGTCTCCTTGTGGCCATGCAACAAAGGATCAAGAGCACCCTGCAAGTCACAAAAGTTGGGAGAAAGACTTCCTCTTCCATGAAGCTTCAGTGTGGGCATTTGGCTGCGGTGTGTTTATTGGCTTTTGGGTCACATTTTTAGGTATCACGTGGGACAGCCTTCAAATTTGGAGGTATAAGCTTCGAGCAAAGGAACATGAGAACACATCTATTAGCCTCAGCATTACTTTTCCTCCATCATTTCTTCCTCGTCTTGACAGTTCTTAAAAAATTCATGTGGCCAGAACTCAAAAAAAAGCTGATTAGGTCGTGGTGGATTTAGAACTCATGACAAATGTGAATAAAAAACGAGAAAAAAAACTGACAAACGTTAGTCAAGCAATAGTGCGTTACAAAAGCAAACCCAGACACAGGCAATTGAACTCCATGAAGTCGTGGTCAAGGTGGATACAGAACTTTCCGTACTTTACTTTGATCAAAGTCTAGGATCTTCGGATACTGGTCAATCAATGAGAATAACCAACCAACCAAGACCGACTTTGATATGAGTGTGAGAATACCGTCCTTGACCTGGTGATACATCACCTTAAATTTCAAGCCTTGTCAGGGAAACATGTGACGCAAAGATGGCAAAATTCCAACAATTGCGTTCATCTTGCTCTTTCTCACGAATGCAGCATCCCGTTTTCAAGGCCACCGGAAATCTGGGCGACTCCCCCTCATTACAAAGCCAGCTGAGTCTTACATTCTCTTCCTTAAGAGTGCAGGAGTCATCACTTTCCACTGCATTGTGCAGCCAACACGAAGATATCCTGACCTGGAGCACATCTCCTTGGCTAATCCCTTCATTATCTATGCACGACGTTACAAGCTACACTTGCCAAGTGCTTTTGTAAGTCTCATGGGAGCAGCAGCGTTCGCCCAAGAACTCTTCCTCTTTCATTGGCATTCCACGGATTGTTGGCATGAAAGGACATTATCATATGCTTCTACGGCTCATGGTGACTGCCTGTATGTTCTCAAGCCTCATGGAAGTGTTTGTGCCACAGAATCACAATGCCGTGATGATAAAGTTTTCAACGTCAATTATATAATCTTTCATGGCATTTGGCTGCTTCAGCTCTCATTACTTCTTGTGTTCCCATCAATGTTCCTGCCTTTGCGTTTGTTCGTCACCACCAGTGGCAGTGAAAACCTTGTCAGCCAGTCCAAAGTTATGGGAACATTGCTTTTCAGTTTCTTTGTTGGTGGTACAAAGTGAAATACGCTGTTATTGAGAGAAAAGCTCTGTACACTATTAGTATATGGAATGACAGAATCTTCACTTAATTGATATTTATTATTATAAATTTAGTTTTGTTTGCATACAAATATAAAGATATTATCTCATTTTTACTTATAAATTTTTTAAATATAAACATGAAAAGATAACAATATTATTTTCTTGTATTATTCAAAATATTTTAAAATTTTATATTAAAATTGGGATTCATATGTTAAATTTTTTTAAAATTTTGAGATTGTCTAAGTTAAATTTGAGTGGTATTTAACAAATATCAAGAATAATCACCAATTGAAAAAGAAAGATGCACTCTTATTCATTAGCCTTTTCCTTTATCTTTGAACTTTAATAAAGTTTTTTCAAGCCATTCAACAATTTATATACCTCCTTAAGAACATGGTTAAAAAATTACAGAAAATTGGTCTTAATATGCTAGGCTAATTCCAGGCTTGGTGGGCAACACTAGATCATCCATGAAGTTCTCAAAATGGTTGGCAAAGAAGGAATATATCATTTGAACTCAAATTCCTCAAAGAACAGATGTAAGAGAACACTTCTTATGTAATGCCATAGTCACGACCTAGCTCAAGAATAGGAGGCCAAAGATTCGTTTGTAATGGTTGGTATTTTTGCTTGAGGTAGACTTATTTAGCTAAGTTTATAAAGGGATTAATCCAATGATTTGTAAAAGTTGACACTGTTAGATAAAAAAGCTAAATAAGTTAAGGCATTGGCAAGCACTCTAGCGTGTTATTATAACCTCAAAGCCATGAACATTGAAAATAATAATACAATATTTATTTCCTATATTGCTAAGTTTGAAAATAATAATAAAATATTTATTTTCTATATTGCTTAGTTAAAAAAAAAAGTGAATCTCAAGTCGATTGAAGTATTGCTAAGCTTCAAAGGCCATACCAACTTATCTTGTTCACTGTCCATGATACAGCCATGATACTTATCAGATCAAGAGCTTCCTTGTGGAATATGCTGTCTATAGACAAGTTCTTGGATGAATCCATTATCAACATGTGATGAGTATAAGGAATGTGTAAAACTCATGGTTTGGATATGGAATTGATTAAGATTTTATGTGTGTGGAAAATGGAAGAGGAAGTGCCATTAATTTTTGACTGGAATAAAGTAAGAATATTAGCAATTTAACAGATAGATCAAGGAATATCCTAGAATATTCTTAGATATATGCTAAAGCAAACCAAATTTTATATTTTCTCATTTAGAAAATTTCTTTTGTAATAAAGATCAAGTTGCATTCATTTTATATTTAGTTTATATATAGCTTCATTTGCTACAGTTATGAATTTTCAAGTCAAGAAGTTCCTTGATATATATATATATATATATATATATATATATATATAAATATATATATATATATATATATATATATATATATATATATATATATATATAAATATATATATATATATATATATATATATATATATCTGTGTGTGTGTGTGTGTGTCAAGGCAAAATAAAACCTTACCCAGGTCCATCATTAAATTTTTATTAGTTTTATACTTAATAATTTAATATTCAATTATGAATTTTATATGTAAAACATAAAGATAGATTCTGATGATTTTATCCACATGACTTCCAGTGGCAGTTTCCAGTAGTGGTTTCTCCATCATCATCATAGTCGAAGTACTTGACAAGGCAAGGTGAGAGAAAGAAGCTAGCAATCCCTTGACAAGCACCACAGTTATCACAGTTATCACCAAGGGTCATGTCAACTTTACAGTGTTTTTGTTGGGAAGAACGATGCAAAAGGCCATTACGTTGTGAGTTGCCTCTACAATCTTCCTGTTTTGCAGAAGTGCTTCCATTACCTGAACTATATATGAAAGGTCGTTTTTTCTTTTTTATATTTAGGTTAAACTATCTTAACCCTAAATATAAAGCTGCAGGTTTTCTTAAGCAAATAAAAAAATTAAACATATAAAGGTTAATTGTAATATAAAAATTTAAAATATTTTGAAATAACAAAAGACACTAATATTGTTAACTTTTACTCTTAAGCATTATATTTAAAAAATTATAAGTAAAAATGAGATAATAAGGGACTGAGATATATCTAGAATATACTTAGATATTCTAGAATATTCTACTATCTAACGGTGGTTATTCATTTAGATTAATCTTGCATTTATACTTTATAAACATGTTTATATTTTTATAAAATTTCCTAAACACTTTCTGGGATATTTTTTTATTCTACCATGTAATGGTTGATATGCAATAAGATTAATCTTATGTTTATAAATTATATACATGTTTATAATTATAAATTCCATTTGGTCAATTGGATTAATAAATAAGAATAACATTACTATTAAGAAAACCAGGCATTACTCTATGCAATGCACAGAAAAGTTTTTAAAAGTTGAGATTATCCTCTCAATGGACTAAACTAAATTTGATTGGTATCTAACAAATATCAAGAATAATCACCAATTGAAAAAAGAAAGATACACTCTTATTCATGAGCCTTTTTCCTTTATCTTAAACTTTAATAAAAGGTTTTTCAAGCCATTCTATTTGATTGCTTATAATAAATTATAACCTCTTGATTAAGCAATATAGTATTAAATCAGCATTTGGCTTAGATAACATTTTCTTTCCTAAAAGTAAGCAAATCTAATAGCAATTTATATGCCTCCTTAGAACATAGTTAACATAATGCAAAAAAATCAGAAAATTGGTCTAAATATGCTAAGCTTCGCACTTAGCTCCAGCCTTGGTGGGCAATACTAGATCATCAATGAAGTTCTTGGCAAGGGAGGAATATGATATTTGAACTCAAATTTCCCAAGGAACAGGAGATGTAATATGATACTTCTTATACCTAGCTCAAGAATAGGAGGCTGAAATTTTTTTTGTAATGGTATTTTTGCCTGAGGGAGACTGATCCACGCAAGATCATAGAGGGCTTAATCCAATGACTTGTAAAAGTCAACACTTTTAGATAAAAACTAAATAAGTTAAGGCATTTGGCAAACACTCTAGCATGTTGTTATAACCTCAAAGCCATGAACATTGATAAAAATAATAAAAATACTTATTTCCTATATTTCATAGCTAAGAAATATGTGAATCTCAAGTCAATTAGAGTATTACTAAGCTTCAAGACATACTATCTTATCTTGTTCCCTGTCAAAATTGATCATTTTCAGGAGTCCTTTTGATGATTTCAGCTTGCCTAAAAGTCAGCCACAACAGAAGACCACCTCCACCCCATGATTGCCTTGTTGTACTAAATCTCAGATCTTCACAAAGATCCTCTAGTACTACATGATGCTCAAGGAGCATATCAAAGCTTGAATCCCATGAAGGATAGATTGTGTTCTCAAGGTTTGGCTTAATTATGACTTATCCATGATGCTCATTAGATCAAGAGCTCTATTATGGAATATGCTGTCTATAGACAAGTTCTTAAATGAATGTGATGAGCATAAAGAATGTGTAAAACTCATGATTTGGATATGCACTTGATTAAGATTTTGTCTGTAGAAAATGGAAGAGGAAGAGTGATCATGAGTGTGTATTAGTCATAAATAAGAATATTAGCATTTAACAGAAAGATAGATTAAAGAATATCATAGAATATACTTAGATATATGCTAAAACAAACCAAAATTTGATATTTTCTCATAATTATAATTTTTTAATTTATTTTCTAAGATCAAGTTGCACATCCTTCATTTTATATTTAATTTACATACATTTTCATTTGCTACAGTTATGAATTTTCAAGTCAAAAAGTTCCTTGCTGGGTATATCTGAGTAATATTTAATGTGCACATTTAATCTTTTAAATCATATCAATGTCATACTAAGTGTTATATCTCTAAGTAAAACTTATATATATATATGTAAATTATAATTAAAATTAACTAATATATATAATATTATATAAAATATTAGTAATTAAAAAATATTTTAATGTGGTTTAAAACTAAAATATAAACACAAATCATTATGTATTTAATTAGTTTTTATACTTATTAATTTAATATCCATTTATGAATTTACACCCATAACATATAATGTGGGTTTAGGCCTCAGATTTTCATAATAAATATGGGAGTGAATTTCACTTTATTAAGGTCTAAATTTAAGTTTAATATGAGTGTAGTTTTTCAATTATTGATGTATATACCAAATAGCATTATTCTAAATAAATTCTGATGAGATATTTTTAAACTCAATAATTATTACTTTTGAAATTCTCCATTTATAGATTTTTTAAAATTATCTAATCAAGCCAAGTAGCCCTAATAGAAAGGATCTCACCTACCGCCCACGTGTCCACCATCCCAAGCTTCAATGCACTGCCACGCGTCGGTCTTGCAAGGGCCCACATGCACGCATGCAGACGGGGACAAGTGGCCCCAATGGGCTTGGTCCGGGATCACACGTGGCAGGCCCTGGTTGCTCCGGAGCGAGGTTTCACGCACACATACACGGCGGCTTAAAAAATAACCAGTCTTTTTGGCCGCGCTCTCTCTACGTTTCACAAGCTCACCTCGCCGGGAGAAGGAATTTTTTTTAGCTCTAGCGATTTCTCTTGTAAGGTTTCGGTGGCGTTGGGTTCAAGCTAGGAATTGTTTTGGTAGCTCGATTGTTCTTGGGGAAGAAGAGAGATGGGGAGATCAATGGATCCGCTGGTGCTAGGGCGAGTGATCGGCGACGTGCTGGATATGTTCGTTCCGGCCGTGGATATGAGCGTTTGCTATGGTAGCAAACAAGTCAACAATGGCTGCGAGCTCAAGCCTTCAGCCACTCAAGCTCGCCCCATTGTCCAAGTTGGATCTCCTCACGAGGAAGGCGCGCTCTACACTCTCGTAATCAATCTCACCTCCATAGCTACCGCCTTCTCTTCTTTCGATCTCTTCTCCAGAGCTAGAGGACTTGATGCTACCACCCTTTGTTCTTAAACAGGTGATGGTCGACCCGGATGCTCCGAGTCCCAGCGAGCCATCAATGCGAGAATGGGTGCACTGGTTAGTTCCAAAGCTTCCATTTTTGCTTCTCCTTCGATATGAATCTGGAGTTTCCTACCCAGGATCGTCGCGGACATCCCCGGTGGAGCCGACGCTAGCCAAGGTATGATCACTCCTTGCATTGTCACGTGAGTTCCAGCTTGGTTTTCTCTCTTGTTCGCTACTCCATCTCCAGGGAGAGAGATCCTCCAGTACATCGGCCCCAAGCCCCCGACTGGAATCCATAGGTACATCTTCGTGGTCTTCCGGCAAATGGGACCAGTTCTCATGCTTCCACCGCTCATGAGGAACAACTTCAGCACCCGTTGGTTCGCGCAGGAGTACTTCCTGGGACTTCCAGTCGGCGCAGTCTACTACAATGCGCAGAAGGAGCCAGCCAGCCGGAGGAGAACCTGATCTTGGCCCGAGCTTTCTTTCTCTAGTCGGCATCTCTCGAGAAACAGCAGCGAGGGAGGAGAGCTCGTCGAAAAAAACCGCTGCTTTCATCACCAACTTGTTCACTGCACTGATTCCACTGCGGAAAGATCGTCCTCTTCACAGAACTGCTGATTTCCTTCTCTCCTCCTTTTCCTTTTTCTCCTGTTCCCAGATCTTTTGCAGTGGTATGGCCTCCCCACCCCGGAAGCAGCTCGAGAATAAATCCTGAGCAGAATCGCTGGAAAAAAAAAGAGTGTGAGACGACCCGAGAAAAGAGAGACAATATCAAATCTTCCGTAGAGTTCCCAGAGGAGGACGATGGTTCATGGAAGAATATTATAATTGTTAAGATGGATGGAGAGAGATGGACCTGCCTGTAAAGTAATGATAAATAGGTGTCAAAAGCTTTCACGGATCTTGTTAGACGTTATCAAATCAAAATGTGACGCACTAGTTTGTCCGAAAAAATCGTACTTCTCTACGTGTAGAGAGACATTGTTGTTGGGATCTCGATGACTGACTGTTGGACCAGCAAAGCCTTGTATTCGTGTCTCCCCGATAGTAACTATCGAGCTTTCCCTACGAGAACAAAAATGGAGGAGTCAGCACTCGCGGAACAGTGGCCGAGAAAAAGAAGTCCCACCTTTTTTGCTGGACGAACAGGTGTTGCTGTTCTTCCGGGAATCTCTTATGTATCCACCACTCTCGAGGAGAGACCGTGCGGCATTGTTGATGTGCTTGAATCTGTCCGGACCGAGTAGGATCCCTCCAAACCACCTCGAGACCACCACCACCTTGCATAAAATCAATCAGTGGAAGCTTTGTTGGATTGGAATCTCCGTGGGGAACAAGGAAAACAAAAGCTGCAGTTATAGCTTACCACGTCAATGGCGCCTACGATCTGGAGGAGATGCAATAGCCGGTTTCCAGCAGCGGTTTCTCCATCGTCGTCATAGTCTTGAAGTACCTGACACGGCAAGGCGAGAGAAAGAAGTTAGCAATCCCTTGACAAACACCGCAGTTATCGCAGTTATCGCCAAGGGTCACGTCGACTTTACAGTGTTTTTGTCGGGAAGAACGATGCGAAAGGCCATTATGTTGTGAGTTGCCCCTGAAATCTTCCTGTTTCGCAGAAGTGCTTCCATTACCGTCTCCACCTCATCGGCCGAGTGGACGGGTGCCAGGTGCGCTTGGAAAGTACCTGATAGTCACGACAACTATCTCAGCAACGCAATCAACGAAACAACAACGACGCTCGTATATTTTATAATCACGTACTCTTCTTCTCTGTGAAGGGACACCCGTGAATAATGCCATGGAGTTTGTCCAGTTCCTCCACGTTGAGCTCAGCCGGAACATCCTCGGGCTTTTCAAACCTGCGCGCGCAGCACACTACAGAAAATTAAAAGAGATTCCGCAGGAAACGAAAAACGAGATTTACGGCTGGAATAACTGAGCTGCTGCAGTGGCTGATTCCCCCGAATCGTTTACTGGCAAGGAAGAAAAAAAGAGAGACAAAACTCAAGACAAAAGCTTGCTTTGGCTGGAAAAATAGCGTACCTGTCTCTTTAGTACTTGCAGCAAGTGCCGTCCGTTTCTCGCAATTCCATAGCCAGTGTTGTTCCTACAACCAGAGAGGAAGACGTAAGCTACGACATAGATTCTTCTACCTACCTTCATCCACTCTATCCATTTGAAAACAATCACTTCTCCGTCACTGCTCGAGTACAACTCGTGAAATCCACTGACAACTTTGTCGCGGTCCTGTTCCGACAGCCACGCGGCTTCAGCTTCAAAAGTCGGTTCACTGTGTGACGGATATTCGTCCGGGAAATAAACGCCAAGCTTCACAGCCAAACCTCCCGACTCTTCTTCACTCGGGTAGACAGAAATCTGCCAAAGGATACCAAATTGGCTGGCTCAAAACCGCTCACCACGTAACCAAATACCTCACAGAAGTGTTCGTGCTCGTGAACAACGATATCCTCTCCATAAATGTAGCGGAGAGCTTCCAATTCTTCAGCTTGAGCTGCTCTGTTAGCTACACCACCACCCAAAACAAAACAAAGAGTCAGTCTCACATCAGAGAACGAAGCATCAAGCATACCTTGGACTGAAGCCGGATCCATGAAAAAGCCCTAGGAGAAAAGCAGCAAAGTCACCAGAAATCTCCACAGGAGCAGTGCCCGTCTCGAAAAGCGTGGACACAACTTATGTCCTTGCAGACGACCAAACGGCCTCCTCCTCCTTGTCTGGAGATGGCGGCTAAAACGTCGTGACAATCGCCGCAAACTCTTCCACTCTTGGAGATCCGGATGTCTGTTCCAGCCGCTGTGTTTACCAGAGCACAACCAGCAGCAAATCTCTCGCTGTGCTCGCAAACTTGATCATCGTTCCTCGTCTTGTCACCCAGGAAAAGGCTCAACTTCGCGACAATCTCTTCCATTTGAGGATGCTCCATCTTCTTCTCTTTCTCCCAAGAAAATCTGTGAACCGTTCCAGCGGCATCGACCCATGACGAGCTCTGTCCCTGTGCTCGGCTCAAAGACTTCGTCGCCATCGCCTTTCGGACTGCTGCTCGCTGCTCCCACATCCCAGCCCCGGCGTAGATATTCGACATGAGCACGAAAGGCGATGGATCGCCATCCTCCTTCGGTACCGAGTCAAACGCAAGCTTGCCAACTTCTACGTTCTTCCACTTGAAACAAGCCCCCAGCACTGTAATCCACGCGACTTTGCTTGAATCGCGAGAGATTCTCTTGGCCATGCTCGCTGCCTCTTCCAGACGATTCGCTCGGCTCAGAAGATCCACCATGCTGGTGCAGTGCTCCACGCCGGGTTGGACACCATATCTAGAGTTCATTGTCTCAAAGAAGCTCTTGCCTTCCTCCACCAGGCCAGCATGGCTGTAGGACGCGAGAACACAGAGGAGAGTGATGCCGTTCACTGAGCCAACTTCTTTCTCTGCGCTGACCAAAAGTTCCAGGACTCGTTCATTGTCTCCGCAGCAGCTGTATCCCGCGATCAAGGCGTTCCAAGTTACCAAGTCCCTCGTCTCCAGCGAATCAAACACCTCTTGTGCATCGCTCATACTACCGCACTTGGCGTAGAAGTCCACGATCGAGGATGCCACCGTGGGATCATTGTCAAGTCCGGAGATGCGAGCCTCGACGTGAAACTTTCGACCGGTTTCCAAAGCCACCATCGCCGCACAGGCTTTGAACACCCCGACAATCGTCCTGGTGCCTGGCTTGAAGCCTTCGTGCTGCATGACCGAGAAGTACTTGAGAGCCGGTTCACACTCGTCGTTTTGTGCAAGTCCCAGTATCATGGAGTTCCAGGAGACTAGATCTCGCTCCAGCATCGCGTCAAACACTTCCCGAGCTCGCTGGATGTTGCCACACTTCGCGTACATATCCACGAGAGCATTCTCCACAAAAGCATTCGGGAGCTTCACTATCTTTGCGAGCTTAGAGTGAATTGCCGTGCCTTTCTGCAAGACGAGGCTCTTCTTGAACTTCCCTTCCACACGCTTGCCTTCTCTCGCCGCGAGGCTACTGCAAGCACCAAGAGCGGCGACGAAAGCTGGAGCGTCTGGCCTGATCCCTTCCTCTTGCATGCGAGCAAACATCTGGAGAGCGAGCTCGCCATTCCCAGCTTGAGCAGTTCCGGATATCATACTCGTCCACGCGAGTGCGTCGCGACGATGCATCCTCTCAAACACCAGCCTTGCATCTTCCAAGCTCCCACATTTGACGTACATATCCACGAGCGAGCTCTCCAAGACCATGTCCGACTTGATCCCCAGCTTCTTGAGCTCGGTGTGGAGCGCTCTCCCTTTCTCCAGGCTCGCCAGAGCCACTTCTCCATGACTTCCACTCGTCTCCTTCACTGCCAAGCTCGCGCAAGCCTTGAGAACCGCCACGAAAGTTGTGCCATCGGGAATGAAGCCTTCCTCCTTCATCCGCGAGAACAAGGCGAGAGCGAGCTCGGCCTCGCCGCAGTTACAGTGGCCCATGATGATCGCAGTCCAGGAAACCACGTCGTGGAACTCCATTTTGTCGAAGACGAGCTTGGCATTCTCCAGGCTTCCACACTTGGAGTACATATCCACGAGACCGCTGGAGACGAACACGTCCCCGGAGTACTGGTTCTTGACGATCTCGGCATGGATCGCTGCTCCTCTTTCCAAAGTAGCCACCTTGACAAGCCTGCCACCTTCGAGCACTGTCCCTTTCTCTCGAGCTGCGACCATGGAGCAGGCCTGGAGAGCTGCCAGATAAGTTCTCGCGTTTGGGAGAAGACCATCTTCCTGGATCCGCGAGAAGAGCTCGAGAGCTCCCTTGCCATCGCCGTTCTGGACGTAACCTTTGATCATGGTGTTCCACGAGATGGCGTCGCGGCACTGGATCCCATCGAAGACCTTGCGAGCATCCGCGACGAGGCCAAAGTGCGCGTAGCTGTCGATCAGAGTGTTGGCCACCGACACGTCTCGATCGTTCTTGGTGGCGACGAGATCGCTGTGGAGGCTCATGAGATCCCATCTCTCGCTGCAAGCCTTGATCGCGAGCACGATCACTGGCACGCACGGCCGGATCCCACACTGGCGCATTCTTCCATAGGTATCCCGCGCCTTCTCCCCCTCGAGCAGCCGCTTGGTCACGTACACGGGCTTGTCGGCTGTCCGGGACGGCGCCTTGAACCATTTGAGCGGCGCGAGCTGTGACAGGCGCTGCGTCGCTAGGATCGGCGACGGCCGGAAGACCGGCATTCGATCGAGAGAGAGGAGACTTACCGCGATGGCGATGGCGGCATTGCTCCTCCCAACAACCCTAGTTTTAGGGATTTGGCCCTCTCATATAATTTGCCAGAGTTGGGCATTTTGGACGAGCAAGCGTTTTACTTGACTAGATCCAAACGAGCAGTGTTACGTCGTTAGAACTAACTTGAAAAACATAAAGAAACAATTTAAAATAGATGATTGAAAGAAAGCTTCATAGATGCTAAACTAAAACTTAAGAGGACAACTGGAACAATGAAAAGTCACACTTGCCCGGGAAAGGCATTTAAAGGTTTCATAATAAACACAACTTCTGCAAAAGCTGGTCGATGTGTACGATCAAATGGAAAACAACCAACTGGCTGGGCAAGATTCTCGTGGATAAAGTGATGGTTCTATGGTTATAAGATCCGCATGGATCAATTCTCAGAGTGGGAAGAGACCTAAGAAATCATGAGATCCTTGCAAAGTTCTAGCGATTCTTCCTCCCCCAGTAGCAAGATCCATGTCGTGGTCGTTCCCCTGCCCGCGCAAGGCCATATGTCCCCAATGATCCATCTCTGCAAGCTCATCGCTCGAGATCCAAGCTTCACGATCTCCTTGGTCAATGTCGACAGCCTCCACGACGAGTTCGTCAAGCACTGGGTGGCGCCGGCGGGGCTGGAAGATCTGCGCCTCCATTCCATCCCATACTCGTGGCAGCTCCCGCTAGGAGCCGATGCCCACGCGCTGGGAAATGTGGGGGACTGGTTCACGGCATCCGCGCGAGAGCTCCCGGGCGGCCTCGAGGATTTGATCCGCAAGCTCGGCGAGGAGGGTGATCCGGTCAACTGCATCATCTCGGATTACTTCTGCGATTGGACCCAGGATGTGGCGGACGTGTTTGGTATCCCCAGGATCATTCTCTGGTCGGGAACCGCGGGATGGTCGAGCTTTGAGTACCACATTCTAGATCTTCTGGAGAAGAATCACATCTTTCATAGCAGAGGTACGACCATGAACATTAGTTCTTTCCCTCCTCCCCTTATTCAAATTTCGCCTGTTCTTCCCCGATTCGTACCCAGGGAGAGCTTCCCCGGAGGAGGCCAATTCCGTGATCATTGACTACGTCCGAGGAGTGAAGCCCCTCCGCCTGGCCGATGTGCCCGATTACATGCAGGGCGAGAAGGTGTGGAAGGAGATTTGCATCAAACGCTCCCCCGTCGTGAAGCGCGCGCGATGGGTCCTCGTCAATTCCTTCTACGACCTCGAGGCGCCCACCTTCGATTTCATGGCCAGCGAGCTCGGACCTAGATTTATCCCCGCGGGGCCACAGTTTTTGCTCGACGATTCCAGGAAGAATGTGGTGCTTCGCCCCGAGAACGAGGATTGCCTTGGCTGGATGGATGAGCAGGAGCCTGGATCGGTGCTCTACATCTCGTTTGGCAGCATCGCGGTGCTGAGCGTGGAGCAATTCGAGGAGCTCGCGGGAGCTCTCGAGGCATCGAAGAAGCCATTCTTGTGGGTGATTCGATCCGAGCTCGTGGTCGGCGGACAGTCCACCGAATCTTACGATGGGTTTTGCGAGAGGACCAAGAACCAGGGATTCATCGTTTCTTGGGCGCCACAGCTGCGAGTCCTCGCCCATCCCTCCATGGGAGCGTTTCTTACGCACTGCGGATGGAATTCCATCCAGGAGAGCATCACACACGGGATTCCAATGCTGGGGTGGCCTTACGGGGTCGAGCAAAACACCAACTGTAAGTTTATAGTGGAGGACTGGAAGATCGGGGTTAGATTCTCCAAGACCGCGATGCAGGGATTGATCGAGCGAGGAGAGATCGAGGACGGCATAAGAAAGGTGATGGATAGCGAAGAGGGGAAGGAAATGAAGGAGAGAGTGGAGAACTTGAAGATCCTTGCCAGGAAAGCCATGGACAAAGAGCATGGGAAATCGTTTCGTGGCGTCCAAGCATTCTTGGAAGATCTCAAAGGTTTGAAGATCCATCGCGAGTGAGTGAAAGATCTATTCTTTGAAGAGAACTTTAAGAACTTTGTACCAGTTCTCAAGATAATTAATGTGCCAACTTCTTTGATCCATGCCGGTTTCTTCCTCACTGAGAGATGTCGCATGAGCATTGGAAAGCCAGACGCAGAGCGCAGGAGGTGCCAACATCCCTGCGGCGATCCTGGCTGCTCGATCCGACTCCGAGTTGAGAAATCCGCAGGGATTACCGCGAGGAGATGGAATTCCTCGCGAATGGCCGCTACCAACTGGGGATATCTTTAGCGGAACCCCTGGGATCACCACAATGCCCTCTGATAGACTCTTAGCATTTGCCAGATAGGGGTAGTTGACTAGATGCGAAAGAGCTTCGTTAGAACCTACATGAAACGTTTGGAACCAATATTAAAGTCGATGCTTACAAACTTCAGCGCAACATTGTTGCTCGGAATCTTTGCGAAGTTGCATTTGCCCAGACGAGGCATCATTTGCGGCCGAAGGGAAGACACCATTAGCGCGCTGTAGTCATGCATTTCTTTAAGAATCCGGGATTAGAGAGATGTCTTAGAGCACTTACTTAATGTTACATGCTCTTACCATGTTTTTCTTCTCTCTTTTGCTCGTCCCAGCCGCCATGCACGGAAATATCTAGATTTTTCCCAACTTAATAGAGATCAAGATTCATGTGGCAGTTGTCCATGCATGCAAGGGATCATTGCCCCAAATATCGATCCAAACTCTACAGTCCCTTAGCTTTTGGAATTGTGAAACTTAATCCCAGCGAGGGGATAATAATCCTTGGAACCACCATCAGGATCTTAATCTCCAGAAATTGGCCAAAACACTAAACTACCAAGGAATCTTTTCCAGAGACGGCTAGTAGTCTAAACAGTTTACGCACAAATCTTTCCTTGCCAAAAAAAAATCATGGCTTCTACCAAGGTCCATGTCTTGGCGGTTCCAGTGGCCGCCCAAGGCCATATCTCCCCAATGATCCATCTCTGCAAGTTCATCGCTCAAGATCCAAGCTTCACAATCTCCGTGGTCAATATCGACAGCCTCCACGACGAATTCATCAAGCACTGGGCGGCGCTGGAAGAGATACGCCTCCATTCCATCCCATTCTCGTGGAAGGTCCCGCGAGGAGTCGACGCCCACGTCGTGCGAAATCTGGGGGACTGGTTCGCGGCAGCTGCGCGAGAGCTCCCCGGCGGCCTCGAGGATTTGATCCGCAAGCTCGGCGAGGAGGGCGATCCGGTCAGCTGTATCGTCTCGGATTACTTCTGCGATTGGACCCAGGATGTGGCGGATGTGTTTGGCATCCCCAGGGTCATTCTTTGGCCGGGCACCGCGGCATGGACGAGCTTGGAGTACCACATTCCAGAGCTTCTGGAGAAGGATCACATATTTCCTAGCAGAGGTACGAATCGCCTATTTTGATCATGAACTTTCCCTGTTCTTCCCTTGGAATTAAACGTTTTCCCTATTCTTCCCTTGGAATTAAAAGTTTCCCCTGTTCTTCCATTGTTTTCCCTGGAATTACCCTGTTCTTTCCTTGGAATACCATCACATTTCCCCTGTTCTTCCCTTTGGCCCTCTTCTCTTTGGAATTAACATCCCCTGTTCTTCCCTTGGACTGATCGATTCGTGCGCAGGAAGAGCTTCTGCGGACGAGGCAAATTCTGTGATCATCGATTACGTCCGAGGAGTCAAGCCGCTCCGCCTGGCCGATGTGCCCACGTACCTTCAGGGCGACGAGGTGTGGAAGGAGATTTCTATCAAGCGCTCCTTCGTCGTGAAGCGCGCGCGCTGGGTCCTCGTCAATTCCTTCTACGACCTAGAGGCGCCCAGTTTTGATTTCATGGCCAGCGAGCTCGGGCCTCGATTCATCCCCGCGGGGCCACTGTTCTTGCTCGACGATTCCAGGAAGAATGTGGTGCTTCGACCCGAGAACGAGGATTGCCTTCACTGGATGGATGCGCAGGAGCGTGGATCTGTTCTCTACATCTCATTTGGCAGCATCGCGGTGCTGAGCGAGGAGCAATTCGAGGAGCTCGCGGGAGCTCTCGAGGCATCGAAGAAGCCATTCTTGTGGGTGATTCGACCTGAGCTGGTGGTGGGTGGTCACTCGAACGAATCTTACAATCGGTTTTGCGAGAGGACCAAGAACCAGGGATTCATCGTTTCCTGGGCGCCACAGCTTCGAGTTCTCGCCCATCCCTCCATGGGAGCGTTTCTCACGCACTGCGGATGGAATTCCATCCAGGAGAGCATCGCAAATGGCATTCCAATGCTGGGGTGGCCTTACGGGGGTGAGCAAAACACCAACTGTAAGTTTATAGTGGAGGACTGGAAGATCGGGGTTAGATTCTCCAAGACAGTGGTGCAGGGATTGATCGAGCGAGGAGAGATCGAGGACGGCATAAGAAAGGTGATGGATAGCGAGGAGGGGAAGAAGATGAAGGAGAGAGTGGAGAACTTGAAGATCCTTGCGAGGAAAGCTATGGACAAAGAGAATGGGAAGTCGTTTTGTGGCCTCCAGGGATGGCTGGAAGATCTCAAAGCTATGAAGCTGGATCGCAAGTGAGTGAACGATGCATTCTTTGATAAGAACTTTCTATCTATCAGTTCTGAAGATAAACACATGCTAGTCAAGTAAAACGCTTGTGCGTGGGATTTGGATAATGTTGGAAATGGCTGAGCAAACAAACAAAGATTACTTGACAAAATTGTTCAAGAATGCTCTATTGCTAGTGACCGACCATAAGTTACAATCAAAGCAAATGGACATTAGTTATGTGCTCTATGTAACATTTCTCGGTGAGGAAAAAAGCAGATGCAAAAGAACTGTAAGACTTAGTTAATTAAAACTTACATGAAAACGTTTGGGATTTTCGATGTTTACAAAAAAAAACTCTACAAATGCTTGAGTACAGTATTGTTGCTCGGAATCTTTGCTAACTTGCATTTGCCCAGACCAGGCATCATTTCCAGCCAAAGAGAAGACAACGAGCGTTCTCTTGATCGATAATCATGCACTTATTTTAGGCTGGACTTAGCCACGGCCATTTTGTGGACAAGAGCAGCACTCATGAATCTGATTGCTCCAATGTTAAATGCTCTTACCATATTCTCAAAGGCCGGAAGCTTCCCAGCCGCCAGGTGTAGGGACAGATTTTTGCCACCTTCTCAAGATTCATGCGGCAGCTATCCATAGGATCATTGCTTGTTCAAATTCAGGAGCTGTAATGAATTGCAACTTGGGTCAATGTGAGTCTCGTTCTAGAGCAGAATTGCCTCTCACAACGCTTATGCTAATCTCTCTTTGTCGAGAAATCAACTTGTGTAAACATCCGTTGCCTTCCCCGCCAAGAAAACCATTCTAATAAATACCGATGAACCCTGCCAAGGAAACCATGGCTTCTCGCAAGGTCCATGTCTTGGCGTTTCCAGCGCCCGCGCAAGGCCATATCTCCCCAATGATCCATCTCTGTAAGTTCATCGCCCAAGATCCAAGCTTCACAATCTCCTGGGTCAATATCGACAGCCTCCACGACGAGTTCGTCAAGCACTGGGTGGCGCCGGCGGGGCTGGAAGCTCTGCGCCTCCATTCCATCCCATTCTCGTGGAAGCTCCCGCGAGGAGTCGACGCCAACGTCGCAGGAAATGTGGGGGACTGGTTCACGGCAGCCGCGCGAGAGCTCCCCGGCGGCCTCGAGGATTTGATCCGCAAGCTCGGCGAGGAGGGCGATCCGGTCAGCTGTATCGTCTCGGATTACATCTGCGATTGGACCCAGGATGTGGCGGCTGTGTTTGGAATCCCCAGGATCATTCTTTGGTCGGGAAACGCGGCATGGACGAGCTTTGAGTACCACATTCCAGAGCTTCTGGAGAAAGATCACATCTTTCCTAGCAGAGGTGCGAATCTCCGTTCTTCCCCTGTTCTTCCCTTGGAATTAAGCGTTTCCCCTATTCTTCCCTTGTATTTACCCTGTTCTTCCCTTGGACCATCAAATTTCCCCTGTTCTTCCCTTTGGAATTAACCTCCTCTGTTGACGCAGGGAAAGCTTCCCCCGACGAGGCCAATGCCGTGATCATCGATTACGTCCGAGGAGTCAAGCCCCTCCGCCTGGCCGATGTGCCCGATTGCCTGCTGGCCTCGGAGGGCCAGGAGGTGTTGAAGGAGATTTGCATCAAGCGCTCCCCCGTCGTGAAGCGCGCGCGCTGGGTCCTCGTCAATTCCTTCTACGACCTCGAGGCGCCCACCTTCGATTTCATGGCCAGCGAGCTCGGGCCTCGATTCATCCCCGCGGGGCCACTGTTCTTGTTCGACGATTCCAGGAAGAATGTCGTGCTTCGACCCGAGAACGAGGATTGCCTTCACTGGATGGATGTGCAGGAGCCTGGATCAGTGCTCTACATCTCGTTTGGCAGCATCGCGGTGCTGAGCGTGGAGCAGTTCGAGGAGCTCGCGGGAGCTCTCGAGGCATCGAAGAAGCCATTCTTGTGGGTGATTCGACCTGAGCTGGTGGTGGGTGGTCACTCGAACGAATCTTACAATGGGTTTTGCGAGAGGACCAAGAACCAGGGATTCATCGTTTCCTGGGCGCCACAGCTGAGAGTTCTCGCCCATCCCTCCATGGGAGCGTTTCTCACGCACTGCGGATGGAATTCCGTCCAGGAGAGCATCGCTAATGGCATTCCAATGCTGGGGTGGCCTTACGGGGGCGAGCAAAACACCAACTGTAAGTTTATAGTGGAGGACTGGAAGATCGGGGTTAGATTCTCCAAGACAGTGGTGCAGGGATTGATCGAGCGAGGAGAGATCGAGGCCGGCATAAAAAAGGTGATGGATAGCGAGGAGGGGAAGAAGATCAAGAAGAGAGTGCAGAACCTGAAGATCCTTGCGAGGAAAGCTATGGACAAAGAGAATGGGAAGTCGTTTTGTGGCCTCCAGGGATGGCTGGAAGATCTCAAAGCTATGAAGCTGGATCGCAAGTGAGTGAACGATGCATTCTTTGATAAAAACTTCCTATCAGTTCTCAAGATAAAGACATGCTAGTCGAGTAAAACGCTTCTGCGGGACTTGGATAATGTCTGAGCAAATAAACAAAAATTATTTGACATAATTGCTCAGGGATGCTTTATTTCTAGTGGTTGACTATAAGTTATAATCAAAGCAATGGACATTATAGTCATGTGCTCTATGCAACATCTCTTGGTGAGGAAAAAAGTAGGTGTAAAAGAATTGTAAAACTTAGTTAATTAAAATTTACATAAAAATGTTTGGGATTGTCAAAATCAAAATTTACAAATGCTTGAGTACAATATTTGAAACGAACAAGGGAGTTGCTTTTGAGCACTTCCTTGGGTGGCCCATTTGGCACCACCTGAGTCGATACTCACTCCCACCCAAGGCCCCTTAGTCCCAATTTCAACCTCAAGTCAATTTGAAAGCACCATTGGAGAGTTCGTTCAAGATTAGTTCCTGAATCTCATCTATCCCTATTATACTTTTGGAACCCTTACAGCCCCCCTCTGGGAGACGCATGCTTTGGGCTTTCACCCCTTGACCTGTATTAGTACTCAGACTTGGTCTTAGACTTGATCTCAGACTCGATTTCAGACCCGACTGTAAGCTCCTGAGTTTAGACTTCCTGGGAGGTCACCCAGCCCAGTACTATTCAAACCCAAAGACGCTTAACTCCAACTATCCCAAGACCCTTAACCGATTGGAAAAGGGGGTGCACTCTTGTTCATGGGCCCTTTCCCTCTATATTTGAACCCCATGGATCGTCTCTCGAGTCGTTCCCTTTGGTTGCTTACAATCCACCACGCTTCCCTGCAAGTTCACGCCCTCGTGAACGGAAGCTGAGAGCCGCAACTCTCCCGAGAGCCTTGCTCTCCTGACACCCTACCCCTTGGGTCGAGCCCAGTGGGAGCAAACTAGACCAGCCAGATGTCAATCAACATGTGGTGTGATTCCCCTAGCCAACCAACAGAGTCGGACCCGAGACCCCTCTGATACCATCCACCACGCTTCCCTGCAAGTTCACGCCCTCGTGAACGGAAGCTGAGAGCCGCAACTCTCCCGAGAGCCTCGCTCTCCTGACACCCTACCCCTTGGGTCGAGCCCAGTGGGAGCAAACTGGACCAGCCAGATGTCAATCAACATGTGGTGTGATTCCCCTAGCCAACCAACAGAGTCGGACCCGAGACCCCTCTGATACCAAATGTAAGCTCCTGAGTTTGGACTTCCTGGGAGGTCACCCAGCCCAGTACTATTCAAACCCAAGGACGCTTAACTCCAACTATCCCAAGACCCTTAACCGATTGGAAAAGGGGGTGCACTCTTGTTCATGGGCCCTTTCCCTCTATATTTGAACCCCATGGATCGTCTCTCGAGTCGTTCCCTTTGGTTGCTTACACCGACCTTGGACTCGGTCTCGGACTCGATCTTGGACTCAACCTCGGACCTAATTTCCAACTTGACCTCAGACTCGATCTCGGACCCAATCTCAAATCTCAGATTCTGTCTCGAACTCAGTCTCAAACTTGGTTTCGAAGTCGGCCTTGGACTCGATCCTGGACTTTGTCTTGAACTCGGTCTCAGAGTCAGTTTTGGACTCGATCTCAGACTTGGTCCCATCCAATGAACTCTTTATCATTTTGGTCATGCTTTCAGGGATCTTTTAGCCTACGACACCTTGGGGAATTGGTTTTTTACAACTCCACCACCCATAGAAGAAGTTCAATGCCCACATCAAATGTTTCTTTCTAATCCTATGACTTGTTGCTTATGTTTCCGAGGGCATTCCTCCACTTAGTGGTGTGCCTAAGTTAGCCTCCCCAACCAAGAGCCCATGGCAACAGAATATATGTGTCCCTATACCCCTCACCTTACCATGCCCTAGTATGGGGTTGGGACTTGAACCTAGCCTTGCTTTACTAGGGGTTGGGACTCAAACCCAACCTCCGTAGAATATGTTTACGAATTCAATATCCCCACGGGGAATCAGGAGTAGTTCCCTACGCCTGGTCAACCTAGTTAACTCATGCTAATTAGTTTACATTCGGTGCACCTTCAGGTCCCAACATATGCCATTACTCAACTTCACAATTTGATACTTTAATTGAACTTTACATAAGTACATAGAGTTCTTCCTTGCAAAAATTCCTCCACTAGGTCCCACGTTTGTTAGGTTCTCTTCCGGTTCCCATGTTGCTTTGCAGTGTGGAAATTCTTTTCACTTTACATGGAACTCCCTCACTTTGCATCCTTGTTGTTTGCTCTTGCACACATTGAAGATGGCCTTGACTTCGTATTCCTCTTTCCCTTGGATAACCTCAGGTAAAGGTTTTATTTGGTCCTTGTGAAGTAGATCCTCAAAATACAACTTGAGTAAATTCATATAAAACACTGGGTGCATCTTCCCCATCTCTCGAGGAAGTCCAAGGCAGTAAGCCACTTTACTGATTCGTGCCTCAATCTCGTAAGGCCCTGCAAACCTGCTTAAGGAACTCATGATCAATTCATTTCTAGGAATACATGCATTTTTACCTTTGGGTCAACTTATGGTTGATCCCACTTGGTAGCCTTAGGTTCTTGGTGTTCAACCACACTTTCTCCCCAAGTTAGAACTCTACATCCTGGCGCTTCTAGTTTGTGTACTTAGTTTGCCTTTATTGAGTCTATTCCAAGGAATCCCTCACTAGATTCTAAATGTTGAGTCTTTCTGTCGTGAATGCTTCTACAGTAGGTAACTCTTCATGATACTCGGCCATGCCGAGTTCCATAGGACCTTCAATAACTCACCCATTGATGACTTCCCATAGACTCACCCCGATGTCAGACACAAATCCCTAAGCCCCAAAGTGGAGCCACAAGGGTGCCACGTGGTAGTGGCCGAAGCAAAAGCCAAATGAGCGTAACACGTTTGGATTAAAAGGCTCCGACTTGAAAGGTCGAGAGCAAGAGTGGAACTCCCAATGGAGTGCTCAAGGAATGAGCATGAAGCGAGTAATAAGCGAAGCTCCAAAAAGGGACCCAAAAGGACCAACACATGACACGTGGAAGTGTCCGAGATGGAGTCCGAGATGGACCAAGATGAAGTCCGAGATGGAGTCCGAGGTGGAGTCTGAGGTGGAGTCCGAGATGGAGTTCGAGGTGGAGTCCGAGATGGAGTCCGAGGTGGAGTCCGAGGTGGAGTCCGAGATGGAGTCCGAGATGGAGTCCGAGCTGGAATCTGAGCTGGAGTCCGAGATGGAGTCCAAAGTGGAGTCTGAGATAGAGTCCGAGATGGACCGAGATGGAGTCCGAGATGGAGTCCGAGATGGAGTCCGAGATGGACCCGGGATGGAATCCGAGATGGAGGACCCGAGATGGAGTCCAAGGTCAAGACCGAGACCGGGATCGAGACCGAGACCGAGACCGAGACTGGGACCGAGACCGAGACCGAGACCGGGACCGGGACCGAGACCGAGGCGGAGGCCGAGACTGAGCCCGAGTCCAAGTCCGAGTCCGAGTTCGAGTCTGAGAGGGTGAAAGCCCAAAGCGTTCGTCTCCCAGACCCTGGGGGGTTTGGTGAGCTCCAAAAGTATAGTAGGGGGGAGGACTGCAGTGGAGCCAGTTTGGCCAGGAAAGGCCAGTTTGGCCCAGGAAGGCCAGACCCAGTGTTGGGTGATGAACTGACCACTGGGAAGTCCAAGACTAGAGTGAATACAGACCGACAAGCGGGGTAGCTTGGTGAAGTGTTCAAGAGCCGGCTCTAGTTCCCCCAGGAGATCGACTGGCTGATGCTCCTAGTCCAAGTGTGGGTGGCACTACCTACTTGGATACCAGGCGTGGCTCAACGGAACCTCGCTCTAAGCCCATGGCTAGAGCACCCAAGGGCGGAAGGCAGGGAGAGTACCCAGGTGGCTCGCATAAGGCCACGGTGTTCCGAAATGTTGTCCCAAAGGCCCAGACTGTGGAAAGGAAGAGGAGCAGTCCTTTGGGGTAGTGACCAAAGACACAATCGTATGGTGAGGAAGTCCCAGAGGACCGTGGGACTTAGTGGTCGGGCCTGTGGGCCTCGATCCAGTGGTAGTGTTGGCAAACATGGCCAGGGGCAGAAAGGGACTTAGTGGGGACTGACAGAGGGATATTGGGGAAGGCTATTCCCCTTGTCGGTGGGCATCCTAAGGATGCTAAGGAGTGGATTTGAGATGACCACTCACGGATGGTTTGCCTAGTCTTGGAGAGCCAAGACTGGGATGCATGTGGTATTGGACTACCAGTGTGGCAAAGGTGATTGGGCATGGCCTTAGCGTGACAAGCTACCATGTCGGTGGTACCTTTGAGTGTCGGTCATGGGATTGGACACGTGGAGCACTTGGACCAAGTGCAAATGTTGAATGGCATGGATGCCATTCTCGGGGCTAGCAAGTCCCAAGTCCTGAATTGGACTTATGGAGGTTGTGAATGAGACTCCTCCAAGTGGTCGGAGGTGTGGTTAAGTGACTAAAGTAGAATGGAAAATTTAGTCGCTTACAATTTGGTATCGGAGTTGTTCCTTAGTCTGACTTTTATTGGTGCTCAAGTATATCACCATTGATATTAGCATCGGAAGGTCCTAGGAGTGGGCCTATCGTTGAGAAGTAGCATGTCGAGAGGACATGGCTCTCCACTCAAGTTCATGCGTGAACTTGGGCGCGATGTGGTGGATAAAAAAGGGGCCAGTAAGGGAACGACTTTGGGATCTTGGGAACAGTATAAAGTTTTCCTCATAGAGTTGAGGATGTGATCCAGATGAGCATTTGACTTTGCAAACTGGCTAATGTAGTTGTGGTAAACAACTATAGTTAGGATCACGGGAAAGATAAAGACTCCAAAACAATAAAGGAGTCACAAGATTATCCTCATATAGTTGAGGTGGGTGCTCATAAATGTGAGACTAGAAGTAATGACCGCGGGAGGTCAAATACAGAAAAGGACACAAGTCCTTGAAATGGTAGCCGAAGCTACCTCTTCTAAATGCTAGAACAACCCAAGGAGGTGGGGGTGTACTTAGAGGATGAGTTGGTATTCTCATCACATGGACAAGTGGTCCTAAGGGGCAAATGTTAGCCCCAAGAAAATCATCAAGTGTTAGAGTAACACTTGCAAAGATTGTCCTTATGAGTAGGACATGAATACAAGAAGTTGTATTCCAGTGAG